TTATAATAAATATTGGGGGGGGGATATTCAAATATGCGCAAAATGTCCCCCTCAATATATTGCTATAAAATCGATTTCTGTTTATACGATGGTGGTTATGGTTGTACTTTATTAATCCCTAATCTCTGCCATTACATACAATGAAATAAGAAAAGGTAAAAAAGAAAAAAACAGAGCAATGTAATACAATACACTATTAGACATTATTGTAAACAAATAAATTAAAAGTCCATCCTATGTGTTTGTGAATTTTTATAAATATATTAGGCAGGAAATTCGTTTTCAAATTTTGATTTTGTTTCTGGGGGGGGGGGGACCCCAGACCCCCTGGAACATTTGGTCCCCTCCAATGTTGACTCCATGGCTACGGCCTTGAGTAGCAGCGGGTCCTGCTCCGAAGAGCGTAGCGCAAAAACCCCAGTCCTATGACAGATCAGTCGGACCCGCAGGTACACAAGTGCAAGACCACGCAGAGCTTTATAGACCAGAAGAAAGCTTACTGGAAGCCAGTGCAGGTCGCGGAGAGCGCGGAGTGCTGTGGCAGAAGCAGCAGCAGCGGCGGTGGCGGCCTCATCATTATCGGGCGTGAGTGATGAGCGCTCAGAGGTGGATGACGCATGCCGCCCGGTCGAAGCGAATCCATCCCATGCCTTACGTCCTTACCCCGTGACCGTCGCTGCAACCGCGTTAGCCACGGCAAGATTATTGCTGCGAAAATACATCGGGAGGAGCGGCGGCGGCGGTGGCGGCGAAGTGGTGAGCGCACCGCGGCTACAAAGCCGGTGACCCGGGTTCGTTTGCGTGGCCACAGCCAACATCAGTGGCGAGTGATGTCTGAACTGCTCCTACCCCCACCCACCCCGCCCCCCCACTTTTACCATTGCCTGGGTAAGTATGGTCAATAAACCCGCACGACCGCCACTAGACAGGGTCGGCACAGCGCCATAAATGATTGATTGATGAACTGTGTACAGGTCCTGAGGCTTGCAGGCAGCGTGAGACGGGAATGAGGCCCACGTGAGACGGGAATGAGGCCCACGTGGGACGAGAATGAGGCCCACGTGAGACGGGAATGAGGCCCACGTGGGACGAGAATGAGGCCCACGTGAAACGGGAATGAGGCCCACGTGGGACGGGAATGAGGCCCACGTGAGACGGGAATGAGGCCCACGTGGGACGAGAATGAGGCCCACGTGGGACGGGAATGGAGTCCACGTGGGACGGGAATGAGGCCCACGTGGGACGGGAATGAGGCCCACGTGGGATGGGAATGAGGCCCACGTGAGACGGGAATGAGGCCCACGTGGGATGGGAATGAGGCCCACGTGGGACGAGAATGGGGCCCACGTGGGACGGGAATGAGGCCCACGTGGGACGGGAATGAGGCCCACGTGAGATGGGAATGAGGCCCACGTGGGTCGGGAATGAGACCCACGTGAGATGGGAATGAGGCCCACGTGGGACGGGAATGAGACCCACGTGAGATGGGAATGAGGCCCACGTGGGTCGGGAATGAGGCCCACGTGAGATGGGAATGAGGCCCACGTGAGATGGGAATGAGGCCCACGTGAGATGGGAATGAGGCCCACGTGACATGGGAATGAGGCCCACGTGAGATGAGAATGAGGCCCACGTGGGACGGGAATGAGACCCACGTGAGATGGGAATGAGGCCCACGTGGGTCGGGAATGAGGCCCACGTGAGATGGGAATGAGGCCCACGTGACATGGGAATGAGGCCCACGCGAGACGGGCGAGAGCCGCGCACGTGATCGCGGCGTCAATCCAAGACGTTTAGTTTGCGAGCGCATGTTCAGCCAGGTACCGTTATCTGTTGCCGCAATTGACGCGTTGAGTAGCGGTGACGATGGTGGTGGAATGAGCGGGGGCACACGAACTCTTCCCCCCCCCCCTCCATGGGACCCTGGGCCCGACAATTTAAATGTTAGAGAGCCCCCCTCCACCCCCTCCACGCATAACGTTGGGGTTAGGAAGCATTAACCGCTGCGTGGCGCCGAGATCAGCGCTGTCAGCAGCGAGGCTGGCGGGGCCTCCGACACCGCTGATACCCCGCGTCAGCCCCCCCCCCCTCTCCATTATCTCACTGTGTCAACTGTGTCAGTGCTGCCAGAAATATTCACGTGGGCAGCGAAAGTTCTACCGTGGATAGACAGACGCGCGCGTGTGTGTGTGTGCATTTTCCATCACTCTTGTCAATCCACTGCTGGATGAGGGTATCCCCACGCCGTGCGGATACTGGGGGAGGGGGGGGGGGGTAGGTGGAGGGATATTTGACCATACTTCACACTGCTCAGTGCGGATTTGAAGGCGAGCATAGACGTTGGAGCGAAGTACAGCACAACAATCTGCTGCACTGCTCCGTGCTGACAACGTAGACCCTCGCAAGCCTATAGCACCTGTTTGTCGTCCTTCCCCCGCACCTCCGATTAGCGCGGTTGGCTACGTACGGTGCGAAAGAAGTTCTACATACATACACCTCGTGTCGTGCCAGCGCGAGGCTTTTAAATAATTGACATGAAATAGTGGCGACATTCTACAGGAATGTTCAGAGTACACGTGGGTGTAACGAGGTGTAATTAATCGAGGTGCGCGTGCAGGACAGAATTACGATGCTAATGAGGCTCAAACTGTAGGTCACTCTGTATTTTGGGCGAGTTGGGGTGAGCGGAACTGTAGACAGCAGGACGGGTCTCCAGTCTGCACCTCCCTGTGAGTCGATACCTCGAACGTCGAACAGCAGAGCAGGGCCACTGCCCGCTTCGAGCATTCGCCGATCCACCAGCAAACTCCCACCCTCCCCGTGGGCTCAATCACCCACCTGGGACACGGAACAAACGAAACACCGCCGATCGATCAATTCCTTCTCCGCGTGCGAAAGACGACGCTCGCAGTGGGAATCGATACAAACGAGACGGTGAAAACGAGACGAAAACAACCGGTGCCCCTGTTCCATCTACGCGGTCAGACCCGTGCAGTTTTCGGGGGTTTTGCCTTCATTGGGGCTCCTCGGCGAGTCACAGACGGAGGCGTGGAGCACAGGGGCAGACGGTACAGGTGAAGGGCGCAGGGCTCAGGCACCGACGCACGGAGTGGAAGTGATCAAGGCAGTGCCGTGGTGCTCGGGGATATCGTGGCAAATAACACTGGTCAACAAAAACAAATTCTGGCCTGGACTTTTGCAGCTGTTTTAGACTAATTTCAGGGTGCTGGTTCCAAATCTGATCTCAGATTTGCTCTATCACATCTCGTTTTTATGCTATCGGCATACCCCATTTTCATTGATTTTAGCCGAAATTAACTCTGTCACTTATTATTGCAAGTTGTTGTGAGTCAGTGACTGCTTTAGTGTTAAAATATGGTGCTGTATTTTTAGGATAGTGTGTTTATAATATCATTTTATGTAGATATCCACATTTACTTAATATTTTTCTTCTGCAGTTTTTATTGAAAATGCAATATTTGATATCTCAAAAACCTGATGGGATAGACAAAAACTGATGCCAGATTTGGAATCAGCACCCCAAAATTACCTTAAACCAGTTGGAATACCTTATGCCAGAAAAAGTGTGTTGCCCAGTGTAAATAGATTCGTAACGTCGAACGGATTTATGCTGGCTTGAGTGTCACATTCCAGGGGGGCTCATGGAGGTGTCAGTGACTTAGATCAAGGTAGAACGTTCGGTCCAGCCTGGCCTATTAAAATAAATGAATTCAACGTTACCGCGAATTTATCGGGACACAAATTCTAAAACGTCACGTGGATTTTCGGATTCTATTTGTGAGCAACAGACTCGGGCATATTTGTGCCAGAGTTCAGCATTGTGTTCCTCCTGGGACATCGACAGAATGTTGCATCCATCATTCCCGCGGTCCACCTCTTGGTGGCCACGCGCGTATCGGATGAACAACGGACGGAACGTCATCGGCCCCGGGGTGGGGGGGGGGGGGGGACGCGCTGCTCCCGATTCGCAGCGAACACGGAGGACGCGGCAAGTTGCATCTCCTGACAGGTGGCATCGCCGCGGGTGAGACACGCGGCGGCGGGCATGGCGCGTGTCCACGTGGCGCCGTGCGCCTCAAGGTCGCGACTCTCTCGCTCTGCCAAACCAGCACCGGGGGGAGAGGGCGGAGAGAGCTTGGAGAAAGTGCAGGACCACCCGAACCTCCCCCCCTACCATGCCCCCGTTACCAGGTTTGAATCGTTGAACCATGAAGAGATGTGACCATGAACTTTCTTCACACACATGCCAGAGTCCTCGCTGCACCTGCTCGATCGCTGATTGGATTGGGAACGTCACGCACAGATCACACAGGAGAGAGGCATCGGCCTCTGTGACCCCGAGTGGCTAAAGGGGTCACCTAATTTTTAGCACCGTGGACCGCATCGTAGCACCGCTTCAATCGCTCCCTTGTGGGTGCCTCTGCGAGTCGAGTCGCACGGGTCTCCAGTCTGCGCCTCCCTGCGAGTCGATACCTTGAACGACGAACGGCAGTGCAGGGCCACTGCCCGCTTCGAGCATTCGCCGATCCACCAGCAAACTCCCACCCTCCCCGTTGGCGCAATCACCCACCTGGGACACGGAACAAACGAAACACCGCCGATCGATCAATTCCTTCTCCGCGACGCTCGCAGTGTCATCCATTCGCCACTCGGCCCTCGCTAAAGGTTAGACTGAGGTCACCCCGCGCCGGCGCGCGTGCGCACTCGCGTCGACCTCTCTCAAAAGTCAGCCGCGACATTTCGCCCGTCCGTCGCACGGAGTAGAGCCCCCCCCCCCACCACCCCGCCCCCCCTCCCCGTGGGCCCTCGTGGCGCGCTGTCGCCATGATTGTGCGCGGAACTCTCGTAGTTATTCATAGCATCCTCTCGGCATTGTTTATGGGTCCTTGTGCCCGGGCATCGGGCAATGGGGATGGAGGGGGTGATGATGAGGGGGGGGGGGGGCGTTGGGGGCGTTGGGCGCCTCTCTCTAATATGGTCAAACTATGCGCGTGGCGCTCGCTCCAGCGGGCCGCGAGGGCCCCCTCTTATAAGCGGCGCCGAGCCGCGTATCTCCACTGCTGCCCTGGTCGCCCGCAGGCATGGAGTTGGTAGGTGCCGTGGCGCCGGCTCTGCGCCCCCTCGCCTCTCTCACCTGGACTCGTCGTGGTGGCGCAGCGCCCTTACCCTCTCTCCTCTTTGTCTGTTTCTTAGCAGGAGGAACAGCTGACCGAGGAGCAGCGCAACGGTAGGGAGCGGTGCCGCCACGGAGCCCCGGGGCGCGCGCTCGCTCGCTCGCACCCGCGACTCACCTGAACCTCACCTGAAACCCACCTCGAGCCTCACTTTAACTTCACCCGCGACTCACCTGAACCTCACCTGAAACCCACCTTGAGCCTCACTTTAACTTTACCCGAGCCACACCTGAACCTTGCCTGGAAATTCACCTAAAGCCTCGCCTGACCCTAACTTTAACTTCGCCTGAGTTGTCACTGTAACTTCACCCGAGCCTCACCCGAGCCTTACCTGGGCGGGCATCACGAGCCGATGGAAGCCCGGGCCCGAGGTCGATGTGAGGTGGGGGGGGAGCGCAGAGTGGCGCTCTCCGCCGGCTGGGATTGAGTAGGATGATGAGAGGGATGATGAGAGGGATGATGAGAGGGATGATCAGAGGGATGATGAGAGGGATGATGAGAGGGATGAGGAGAGGGTGGTGCAGATTGGGATGATGAGAGGGATGAGAGGGATGGGAAGACGAGAGAGGAAGGCACCACGCGCCGTTTCATCCGCGCTCTGTCCGAGTGCACGCTGCCTGGCACGCGCGGCTTTCAAGGCTGTGCGCTAGGGAAACAAAGGCGGCCTGGTTGGACTCCCGCTCGCTCGTCCTTCCTCGCCCGGGCCCCACCGCGTGCCGGAATGAACGCCACTCGGGTCCCGCTGTTGCGCCAGGAGGCGACGCTGAGTGGGGCGCGAGGCAGCCGCGGGGTTTAGAGCCGCGGGTGGCGGCGCGCGCCTGCGCCGATCTCTGCGGGGCGCGCGCGCGCGTCAAAGTGCCCCCCCCTCCTCCTCTTCCCCCGGTGTGTGATGCACGGATGGGGCCGAGCCGGGAGCCGTCCCCTGGCGCGGGGTTGACTCTCCGTCGCCCGCGGATTGCCGAGCGACGCTGAGGGTCGCTCGGCCCCCGCGGTGGCTCGGTTCACGATTCGACTCCAGCCCGCAGCCCCGAGTATTACTTTGGTGTGGAATAACCGAAGCAGTGATAGTAATACTAATACTACGAATACCACCACGACCACTACTGCTGCTGCTGGTGGTGCGCGTCGTCTGCTGCTTCACGCTGAATGTTGAAGAGCCCGTGATGTTATTTCGCAAGAGGAGGCCAATGCGTGCCCGCGTCAGGGTCCAAATGTGGCAAACTTGAAGATGTGACCGCAAACGGCTCAATTGGGATACTACACAATCATTGCCCCCTTCCTGGCAGAATAATGACACAACAGGTCCACTCGTGCAAAATGAGACTCCGATACCTTGGTCTCTTGAGTGCTCGCCTGGTTGAACAAATGCACCCGAAGCTTCGCTTAGACAAAACCTCAACTCCTCGTGCCTGAATGCATTTAATTCAACAACAACAACAAGAGATGAAGGGTGAACGTGAAGCTCTCCCCGTGCAGCAAGCCGGAAGGTGCTTCACTAAGGACGCATCGCCTTGTCCGCATTCCCGATCTGTAAACGAACTTGTAGCTGATTCAGCGGCGACTCCTGCAACACAGACGTGGATGGGAGCAAGTGGATACGATGCTGCTGCTGATGTGGATGATGATGCTGATAATGATGGTGGATGATGATGGTGATTATGATGATGGTGATGATGATGGTGGATGATGATGGTAATTATGATGATGGTGATGATGGTGATGATGATGGATGGTGGTGCGGATGATGATGGTAATGATGATGCTGATGATGAGGCTGATCATGATGGTGATTATGATGATGGTGATTATGATGATGATGATGGTGATGATGGTGATGATGATGGATGGTGGTGATGGTTTCGGTGATGCTGTTCGGGAGCCTCAGTGAAGCGCTCCGCTACAAATCCGACCAACAGAGTTCGACTCCAGATCACGGCCGACACCAGTGACGATTATATGCAACCGGTCCTGGGCCTCCCCTAGGTAGACTCAGCCTCAAATGAGTACCTGGTGTGGCGTGTAAGCACGGCATCACGTCGTGTGCCGTGCCGGCTTTCAGAGGCGCTAGTCGCGTACAGCAGCTATTGCAGGCTATGCGGGGGGTGGGGGGGGGGTCTTTATCGTCGGTGATGCTGCTGCTGATGATCGTGATGATGATGATGATGGGGTGGTCGTCGTCGTGTGGCGCGAGGCAGAGTTCAAGGCCGCCTTCGAGATGGTGGTGCAGGAGAGCGAGGACGGCCGCCTGAGCTGCCGCGAGCTCGAGAGCGTGATGCGCATGCTGGGACAGAGCCCCTCGCCAGAAGAGCTCGCCGCCATGATCGACGAGTTCGACGAAAACGGTGAGAGCTGTGGCGAGTGACGACATTGTGACGACATTATCAGTGGCTAGTGACGACATTGTGACGACATCGTGACGACATTATCAGTGGTGTAGTAACTACATTATCAGTGATGTAGTGACTACATTATCAGTGGTGTCGTGACTACATTATCAGTGGTGTAGTAACTACATTATCATTGACGTAGTAACTACATTATCAGTGGTGTAGTGACTACATTATCAGTGGTGTAGTGACTACATTATCAGTGGTGTAGTAACTACATTATCAGTGGTGTCGTGACTACATTATCAGTGATGTAGTGACTACATCATCAGTGGTGTAGTGACTACTTTATCAGTGGTGTCGTGACTACATTATCAGTGATGTAGTGACTACATTATCAGTGGTGTCGTAACTACATAATCAGTGGTGTAGTAACTACATTATCAGTGGTGTCGTGACTACATTATCAGTGGTGTAGTAACTACATTATCAGTGATGTAGTGACTACATTATCAGTGGTGTAGTAACTACATTATCAGTGATGTAGTAACTACATAATCAATGGTGTAGTAACTACATTATCAGTGGTGTAGTGACTACGTTATCAGTGGTGTAGTAACTACATTATCAGTGATGTAGTGACTACATTATCAGTGGTGTAGTAACTACATTATCAGTGGTATAGTAACTACATTATCAGTGGTGTAGTGACTACATTATCAGTGGCATAGTGACTACATTATCAGTGGCGTAGTGACTACATTATCAGTGGCGTAGTGACGACATTATCAGTGGTGTAGTAACTACCTTATCAGTGGTGTAGTAACTACATTATCAGTGGTGTAGTAACTACAATATCAGTGGTGTAGTGACTACATTATCAGTGGTGTAGTAACTACATTATAAGTGGTGTAGTGACTACATTATCAGTGGCGTAGTAACTACATTATCAGTGGCGTAGTAACTACATTATCAGTGGAGTCGTGACTACATTATCAGTGGTGTAGTAACTACAGAATCAGCTCAGGGGGTACTGAAATGGGTCACGTGGGGCAACCAATATTTGGTTTGTCTCGCCCTCACCACATCGTTACGCTCACGGTCTCGAACATTTAACGCTGTAGGAGGCGCTCCGTCTTCAAAAAATGCAGCCACCACAGCTCCGTAGCAGTTACCTCTTTGTAATATTACGTTACCGCTCGAACTGAATTGAAATACAGTACAACGTGGAACTTAAATGGAAGCATTTTCATAAAACATAAATCTAATGGTGGTTGGCACGGGGGGGGGGGGGCAACTCGTAGCTAGATATGAGGACACAAAGACAAAGATCCCCCGTATAGTCGTTGACAGGCTATTAGGGGCACATGCTGTTAGTGAGCAACTATGAAGACCACACGAAGAGGGTGGATGGCCAGCACCACGCCCGGCCGCCTTTGTCTTCCTAGTGGTGATCTAGCAGAGGCCCAGAACAGGGTTCAGATAATTGTCACTTGTGTTGGCCGTGAGCGGGAATCGAACCCGGGTCGCCTGGTTTATCACGCAGCGTGCTAACCACTATATCACCACTCCCCACAACAACCGCTATTTGCCACAAAGTGGCAGTGACATCACCACGATGCTTGTGCCAGGCTATGTGCCCCTTGAGGCCACGTGAAGTGTCGAACGCCCGCTGGCAGGAGGTCACGGGGCAGACCCAGGTGCCACGGATCGACTGACTGAGATGACTGGCTGATGCACCACCTGTGCCCCCTACTGTACCAACTTGCTGTGCTTTAGTCACCCGCCGCTCCGCTCGTTGTTGTGAGCGTCGCTCCTCCGCCCTCCGTTGTTGTTGGAGGGCGACTGCCTCCAACTGCCCAGTAGAGTCCTTCACGAGCCTCCTCCACAGAGGCCGATCTTGACACCGCTGGTACCAGTCATTGGCAAGTCCACTCAGCTCCACGTCCTCCTGTACTACATCACTCCATCTCTTCTCTAGCCCGTGCCGCGCCCGTTTTGTCCCCTCGATCCCGCCGAACAAAAGCTGTTTAGGCATGCGGTGGCTGGGCATGCGGGCTACATGACCCAGCCAACGCAGCCTTGCCTGTCGGAGGAGCTCACCGATGGAACTTTGTCCAGATCTTTCAAGGATTTGTGAGCTCCTCACACAATCCAGCCTGGTTAAACCCAGGATGGATCGTAGGCAGGCCAGCCTAAATGTTTCTAACCGGTGAAGATGTTCCATTAGGGGGGTCCACGTTTCGCAAGCGTAGAGAAGGGAGGGAATGACCGTGGCCGAGAAGACCTGAAAATTCGTGCGGAGTGATAGACCAGGTAGCTTACACACAGCATTACGCAACTGATGTAAAAATAATGCCGCTCGACTAATTCGGAGTGAGACCTCTGCTGTTAAATCGGAGCCGGTCATGAGCACACTGCCAAGGTATGGGGAACTCTCCACTCTCTCCACAACTGCCCTTCCACCAATTGGGAGTTGTGGAGGTGGAGTGTCCGATGGTACAAAAAACCCAGGCAGGTGCTTAATTTTGGTGGGGCTGATGGTAAGGCCCCACCTCTTGGTGCCAAGCTCCAGGTTCAGCAGCAGCGCCTCCAACTCTTCATCTGAGTGAGCAGCAATTACCAGATCACCGGCATACATAACGTGGTTGAGCAATAGGGAGCCATCCCTTGACTGTACTCGGGCATCGATCAGCCTCGCATTGTATCTGTACCAGATGGAAATTCCTCCGGTACAGCTATTGAAGGCTTCACGAACTACGTGGTCAAAATAGATGTTAAATCATGTGGGAGCCAGAGGACATCCCTGTCGCACCCCAAGGTGTACAGGGAATGTCTCTGACTCCCGGTCACGTAGTTTTACCCTGGCCCGCTCACCATGATGTAGGTCCTTAATGATCATGAGCAGAGGGTCAGGGACTTTGAAAGGACGAAGAACAACCCAGACACCCAGACCTACTGATGGTAAACTCGGCCTTGACCGGGTGAATAAAGCAGAGATGTAGGTCTTGTTGCAATTCCCTAGCAGACGGACAGAAAATATGGCATCTGTGCAGCACCGCCCTTTCCTGAAACCGCATTGGGGCTTTGCAAGCCTCTCCTCAGCGTGCCTAGCAAAGCGATGTTGAATAATCTTTCTCAGGACCTTTCCCAGCACACTGTGGAGTGAAGATGCCCCTGTAGTTGATACAGTCTGTGCATTCCCCCTTCATCCCCACTTTGTCCCACGTTGTTTTCCGGGGTGAGGGATTTCCCCTCCCCCAGGACCTCACAGAAATGCTCGACAAATCTGCAAACCTATTCCTGGGGGTCGGAGATTGGATCACCGTTATTTCCCCGAATGATGGTAGTAGGTGTGGTTCTGCAGGTTACTTTTTTGATGGAGTTAAAGAGCGATTTGTGATCGCGGGCCACTGAGGCAAAATCTATCTCCTCAGCAACCCGCGACCACCACTCATCCATTGCAGCGCCTCACGGTTCTCCAAATTTCCGAGCGAAGGCTGCAGTAAGCTTCCTCATTCTCCAACGTGGGATGCTGTAGCCGATGATAGTGGGCCTGTCGCTTTTTCTCAGCCACCTTGAACACCTCCTCTGTCAGCCAGGGTCTCTGCGGAGGTCTGGACCGTGTACCCAAAGCAGCCATTGCAGCTGCATGAGCCACAGTCCTTAATCTAGCCCATTTCCCCTCCACATCAGGGGGAGTGGGGGACGATGCCAACCCCAGTCGCAATCGATGATGAAATTCTTGCTTGCAACTTTCATCAGCGAGCTGAGACCATGCCACTAAGGGTTTGAATGGGATCCTGGGTGTACACCCACCACCGAAGTGGAATAATGGCAGGCGCATCTTAGAGATGACAAGTCGATGGTCAGTGGGCAGATCAGCTCCACGGTAGGTCCTGGTGTCAAGGATATGGGCCCGCATCCGCTGTTCCGTCACTACGTAGTCCAGCAGATGTTCTTGCTTGGACCTGGCATGCATCCATGATGTTGTGTAGATGAACCGTTGCCAGGACAGCGTGTTGGTAATTACAAGCCCATGGGCTGCACAAAAGTCTAGCAGCCTGCTCCCATTATTATTGAGCTGATCTGGCCCATGTCTTGTCTTCCAATCACTCCAGACCAGGTGCAATCATCATGATCAACTCGGGCATTAAAGTCACCAAACTAGATGACTCTATCCTAAGGGGTCACTTTAGCGAACACCTGTGACAGGAGGTCAAGGAAGGCATCTGAATCATCAGCCTTGCCTGCATCCCTCCACTGATGTTCATCTTCGGTGGGGGCATAAGTAACCACGACCACCACTCCTTGCCTCTGGTTAATGGGAAGGTGAGCCCAAAGTAGCCTGGGGTTTACAGCTTTCCATACCTCACCGCCACACTCCCACCCCCTTCATTATTTTGTTCATAAGAAGAGCCACACCCTGTTGTTTGGCAGTCTCCTACCGCGAGTAGAGTACTGTCCTCCCCTCATGATGGCAGGAGCCAGAGCCGGTCCACCGGACCTCCTAAATACCGCAGAGATCCAGGCGGTCCCGGTCCAGCTCCCGCCAGAGGAGTGGCAGCCTCTCCTCCGCAGTGAGCATTCGAACGTTCCACGTGGCCACCCGCAGTGGTTTTTTGCTGTTTCTGGAGGAACCCCGAGGGGAACGATTCAATCTCCAGGCTCCGGCAAGTAGGGTTTGGCCAGGAGACGTCATAGACGCATGTCCCCCCGGGGCCTCTGGCACAAGTTTAGTTGGATATTATTTTCGTGGTTTAGTGGTAATTAATTGAAGGTGGGGGGTTTACCAACCCCTCGCACCTGCCCAGAGCCCCCTTTGGCCGCTGTGGTGGCGACGAACCCCATGTGGGGAATTACCAATCGGAATTGGCCCTCCCTCCATGGTACTGCTCACCATAGCGTTACCATCCGGTACCAACGAGTAGGTAGGGGGTTGCTTTTCTGGACCAAACACACACACACACACACGTTCACACAAACACACACACGTACACACAAACAAATACAGACACACATGTACACACACACAAGTACACACAAACATAGACACACACATTCGCAAACACAGACACACACTCGTACACACAAACACAGACACACGCGTGTACACACACACGCACGCGCACACCCCGGCACACTGAGATCGGGCCTGTGCCCCGCATGCTCCCAGGCACGGGCACCATCGGCTTTGAGGAGTTCCTGGAGATGATGGTGAGGTGCATGAAGGAGGAGGGGAAGGGCAAGTCCGAGGAAGAGCTCAGCGACCTCTTCCGCATGTTCGACAGGTGACGGGCACAACAGCGGCACGCACGCGGCGGCGGCGGCGGTGATTGCGGTTATGGCGGTGGTGATCATGATTGTTGTGGTGGGGGTGATCGTGGTTGTGGTGGTGGTGATTGTGGTTGTGGTGGTGGTGATTGTGGTGGCGATCGTCGTTGTGATGATGGTGATCGTGATTGTGATGGCGATCGTGGTTGTGGTGGTGATCGTGGTTATGGTGGTGGTGGTGGTCGTGTTTGTGGTGATAGCAGTAGTCATGGTGATCGTGGTTTTGGCGGTCGTGGTATTTATGGTGGTGGTTGTGATGGTTGGTTATGGTAATCATGTGGATAAGTGCGCTGGTGCTCGGGATGATGGCCTTTGTGATGATGATGATGATTAGGACCGTGACCATGATGATGATGACAGTGATAACGATAGAAATCATTCCACATGGAAGGAATTCTTGCTCCGAGACTGGGTCTCACGCTCGCGTATAAAGGCGTGAACCGTGAGCCGTGACCCTGGCTCGCGACCCCGCAGGAACTCAGATGGGTACATCGACCTGGAGGAGCTCAAGGGGATGCTGGAGCAGACGGGGGAGAAGGTGGGCGAGGATGATGTGCAGGCGCTCATGAACGATGGAGACAAAAACAAGGACGGGCGAATCGACTATGACGGTAGCTGCCTGCAGGAGGAGACCACCTCGCACCGTGCACCGACACCCTCCACTTTGCGTACAAAACCGTGCCTCTTAAAGAGTGAAACCCACACCTGATTCCCTCTCACCCCCCCGCCCCCCCGGTGCGTTCGTCAGTCAGTGGCTCAATCTCACGTGGGGATCCTTTATAGCTGTCTCGACCCCTCGCCAAGAAACGGCCATGACAGCACGATGCCGACGAAACGAATTGCGAGTTTCGTTTGGGAAGTCTGTAGCTTGGGTAGATATGGGAACCGATGTACTCCAGGCGGTTTGGAGCTGAGTTGACTTGGCGATGACCGGTGCCAGCGGTGTCAAGATCGGCTTCTGTGGATGAGGATTAGTGAAAGACGCTGCAGGGGAGTTTGGAGGCAGCAACAACGAAGGAGGGCAGAGGAGCGACGCCCACAACAACGAGCGAAGCGCTACCGGGGGAGCACAGTTGGTGCATCGGCCAATCATCTCGGTCAGCCAACCCATAGCATCTGGGTCTGTTCCATGACCTCCTGCCAGCGCAACTTGGACGCTTCACGTGGCCTCAAAGTGCACCTAGGATGGCCCAAAGTGCCATGGTGACATCACCACCACTTATTGGCGAATGGCGGTTGTTGCTGTTGTGGGTTTCTATGTAAGCCATTGGTGGCCAAGGCTGAGACTATGAACTCGCTATGCTCGAGAACGCCTCCTAAAGAGGGGCAGTGCCATGGCCCTGTGGGCAGAGCAACCATCTCTCATTTTCAGAGGCTCAGGGCTTTGGAGGCATGAATGCTGCCCCCCCCCCCCCCGCCAGTTAACATTACGGCGCCCGTTCAGCCTAAAGTATACACTACGCTCCGTGTGCTTCACGGTGGTGGACTTCATCAAGATCCAATGAAGTAAATTTTGAAGAGGAGGCCATCGTGTGCCGGCGTCATGGTCCAAGTTGACCAACCTCACAATTCACTTGAGAATCACGGAAATCGCACCTCCACGCCCTCCACCCCACCCCTTCTGCTGCAAACAGTTGGAATGAATCTCCTGAAAAAACAAAACTAAGAGTCGTAAGACTCAGTGCGTCTCTCGTGGGTAAACAGGGGTGGTGACCACGGTAATGGGCGGGCTGAGACTGACTGGCATTCTCCAGCAGTGCCGGCTCCAACCTGGTTCTAATCCTGGCTCCATTCCCGGCTCTATTCTCAACTCCATTCCAGGCTCCAATCCCAGGTCCATTCCCGGCTTCAAGCTAGCTCCAATCGCAGCTCTCCATTCCCAGCATCATTCCCGGCTCCAACCCAGCTCCAAACCGGCTCCAATCCGGGCTCCAATCCTGGCTCCATTCCCGGCTCCAATCCCGACTCCAATCTCGGCTACAATTCCAGCTCCATTCCCGGCTCCATTCCTGTCTCCAACCCAGCTCCTATCCCGGCTCCAATCCCGGCTCCATTCCGGCTCTAATCCCGGCTCCATTCCTGTCTCCAACCCAGCTCCATTCATAGCTCTAATCTCGGCTCCATTCCGGCTCTAATCCCGGCTCCATCCCTGTCTCCAACCCAGCTCCTATCCCGGCTCCAATCCCAGATCCATTCCGGCTCCAATCCCGGCTCCATTCCCGGCTCCATTCTCAGCTCCATTTTTGGCTGCATTCCCAGCTCCATTCCCAGCTCCATTCCTAGCTCTAATCCCAGCTCTTATCCCGGCTCCAACATGGTTCCAACCCGGTTCCAATCTCGGCTCCATTCCCAACTCCATTCCCGGCTCCAATCCCGGGTCCATTCCCGGCTCCAAGCTAGCTCCAAACCAGCTCCATTCCCAACTCGATTCCGGCTCCAATCCCAGCTCCAACCCGGCTCCATTCTTGGCTCCATTCCTGGCTACATTCTTGGTTCTATTCCCGGCTACAACCTGGCTCCAATCTCAGCTCCAATCCCGGCTCCAACCCAGCTCCATTCCTGGCTGCATTCCCAGCTGAAACCTGCCTCCTATCCTGGCTACAATTCCAGCTCCAATCCCGGCTCCATTCCTGTCTCCAACCCGGCTCCAACCCGGCTCCAATCCCAAATCCATTCCCGGCTCCATACCTGGCGCCATTCCTGGCTCCATACCCGGCTCCAACCCAGCTCCATTCCTGGCTCCATACCTGGCTCCAACCCAAATCATATCGCGGCCTTAATCCCGGCTCCAATCCCGGCTCCATTTCTGACTCCATTCCCGGCTCCAACCTGGCTCCTATCCCGGCTCCTATCCTGGCTCCATTCCCAGCTCTAATCCCGGCTCCATTTCTGACTCCATTCCCGGCTCCAACCTGGCTCCAATCCCAGCTCCAACCCGGCTCCATTCCCGGCTCCAATCCCAGCTCCAACCCGGCTCCATACACGGCTCATATCCACGGCTCCAACCCCAGTCCAATCCCTGCCCACCTCGGCACACGCCTCCCTGTGTTGAACCCTTCCCTGGGCATTGACGAAAAAACAAACTCCTCAAGCAAGCCGCGACACACGCATTCACTTCCCAGTTTAACACCGAACAGGAGTATAGCAGCAGTAGGGCTTTTGCGACCAATATTATCCATAATAGAGGTTTTTTTTTTACATTAGATCGCATAAATACAAATATCTCGTTAAACCCACCCCCACCCGACGCAGCCAATTTGTAAGGTTTGTCAGTTCAGCACACGGCGGTTGTGTGTTGGAGAGTAAACCCACTACAGCATTTACAATTCGAGGACCATGATATTTCGCCGGTAATTACAACAACCAGCATCATCAGGTGACAGTCACAGAATTGTGGAGGAATCCTCCTCTCACCGCGCTGCTGCTGCTGTTGCTACCGCCGCTGCTGCTACCACTGCTTTCAGAGTTCATCGAGTTCATGAAGGAGGTGGAGTGATCGCCGCGGAGGCGCCATGGCGAGCCTGGGGACCTCGCGCTCTGCCGCGTCTCCACGACCCCCGCGACGACCCCCGCGCTGCCCTGCGGCCCTCCGCAAGCAGCAGGAGGGGCAGCCACGGCACGCTAGAGCCACCACCACCACCACCCCACCCGCCCAGAGAGCTGGGCAGCTGACCCAGTCCCTCCCTGTCTTTCTTTGCTCACCTGGTGCAGTCAGGTGCCGTGTCGCTACTCTCAGAACAAACTACCATCAACCCCGCGTGCGATCCCCCAACCCCCTCGCCCCCCCACCCCGACTTGCGCGAGGTCCCCGTGAGAAATCTGCGGTCTCGTAGCCAAGAGCGCAATCAGCAAACGCGCTGCCGCGGTCGCTGCCCTGTTTCAATGGCTTCACGAGGCCACGCGGTTGAGAGTTGAAATCGATCGTGGGGATCCCTGCCGCGCTGAACCCTTCGACGCGAGTCGGGGGCCTCTCGGGTCGACCAGGCGGTGGGGCGCCTCGTTAAGCTTCGCTCGCTCCGCGTGTTTGGAGCTGCTGTGCGTGACGACGTTTAAATGTAAATGTGCCCTTTGTCTACTACGCAGAGGAATAAATGTTCATGTTGTTTCATAAAACATGGGGTTGGTTTTTTGTTGATGCGGTACCACTCGGTTGATTCCTTCTCGCTAATTTCCCCACCGCCACCACCCACAAGCGATCTCTATCCCAGGTGAGATGCCAGCAACCCCCCCCTTCCCCCGTGGCCAAAACTACTTGTTGAGGCCCCTTTTGACAACCACCATGAGATTTGTTTTCAACAATATTGGGGCCCCACCTGACTTATTGAGTACCCCCTGAGCTGATAATGTAGTCACTACACCACTGATAATGTAGTCACTACGCCACTGATAATGTAGTTATTACGCCACTGATAATGTAGTTACTACACCACTGATAATGGAGTAACTACGCCACTGATAATGTCGTTACTACGGCACTGATAATGTAGTAACTACGCCACTGATAATGTAGTCAGTACGCCACTGATAATGTAGTCACTACACCACTGGTAATGTAGTCACTACACTACTGGTAATGTAGTCACTACACCACTGATGATGTAGTCACTACACCACTGATAATGTAGTCACTACACCACTAATAATGTAGTCACTATGCCACTGATAATGTAGTCAGTACGCCACTGATACTGTAGTTACTACGCCACTGATAATGTAGTCACTACGCCACTGATAATGTAGTCAGTACGCCACTGATAATGTAGTTACTACGCCACTGATAATGTAGTTACTACGCCACTGATACTGTAGTCACTACACCACTGATAATGTAGTTACTACGCCACTGATAATGTAGTCACTACACCACTGATAATGTAGTCACTACACCACTGATAATGTAGTCACTACACCACTGATAATGTAGTTACTACGTCAGTGATAATGTAGTCACGACGCCACTGATAATGTAGTCACTACGTCATTGATAATGTAGTTACTACGCTACTGATAACGTAGTCAGTACGCCACTGATAATGTAGTCACTACGCCACTGATAATGTAGTCACTACGCCACTGATAACGTAGTCAGTACGCCACTGATAATGTAGTCACTACGCCACTGATAACGTAGTCAGTACGCCACTGATAATGTAGTCACTACGCCACTGATAATGTAGTCACTAGTCCAATGATAAGTCACTACGCCCTTAGTCAGATGTCTAAATCCCACTGGGCCACGTTCTCGCTCAAGGGTGATGAGGTCACGAGCAAACGACGCTCGTCACCTGAGCCCACAGAGCCACGACGTGTCTCATCGAGCCGTGCACCTCGACCGGCACGGCCTGATGCGTGTGACCGAGGACACGAGGCTTGTGGGGGTGCCACCGTCGTTTTGTGCACACCACATCCAGTATACCTCGTGCCGTGGCTGAGGCTACCAGCGACTCGGAAAATATTCATTGAAAAATAAAAGCCCTAAATTGAGCCCACTAACCAGCAATAGACTCAACCTCACCTGGGATAGACTCACACTCACCTGGGATAAACTCACCCTCTCCTGGGACAGACTCACTCTCACCTGGGACAGACTCACTCTCACTTAGGACAGACTCACTCTCACCTGGGACAGACTCACTCTCACCTGGGACAGACTCATTCTCACCTGGGACACTCACTCTCACCTGGGACAGACTCACTCTCACCTGGGATATACTCACTCTCACCTGGGACAGACTCACTCTCTCCTGGGACAGACTCACTCTCACCTGGGACAGACTCACTCTCACCTGGGATAGACTCACTCTCACCTGGGGCAGACTCACTCTCACCTGGGATAGACTCACCCTCACCTGGGACAGACTCACCCTCACCTGGGACAGACTCACTCTCACCTGAGACAGACTCACTCTCACCTGGGACAGACTCACTCTCACCTGGGACAGACTCACACTCACCTGGGACAGACTCACTCTCACATTGGATAGACTCACCCTCACCTGGGACAGACTCAAACTCACTTGGGACAGACTCACTCTCACATTGGATAGACTCACTCTCACCTGGGACAGACTCACACTCACCTGGGACAGACTCACTCTCACCTGGGATAGACTCACTCTCACCTGGGATAGACTCACACTCACCTGGGACAGACTCACTCTCACCTGGGATCGACTCACACCTGGTATGAATGTGGTTCAGAAAAGCACTGCAGGCAAAGGAAGTTGTGTTGACGATTTTACTAAAAGGACCGTTTCCATTCAACATCTTCCCATTGCACTCAACATCAATCAAGATTTAATCATCCATCGACGGACGTGTGTGTGCTGTGTGTACTGTGTGCCTGCTGCGTGTGTCATTTGTGTTTACTGTGTGTGGGTGTGCTATGTGTGTATGCTGTGTATGTCTTGTGTGTGTGCTGTGTGTGTATGCTGTGTGTGTCTTGTGTGTGCTGTGTTTTCTACGTGTACTGTTCCGTGTGCTGTGTGTGTGCTGTGAGTGAAAGAGCTCCGTTTGAATGATTGTTGTTGGTGAGAGTAGTGAGTAGATACGTGGTGAGGGGTGAGGCGCTCGGCATGAGTAGTGAGAGGTGAGCGCAGCGATCGCTAGATGTGCGTGGTGAGTAGATGAGTGGTGAGTGGACGAGTGGTGAGCGCGGTGAGCGTGGTGAGCGCTAGATGTGCGTGGTGAGTGGACGAGTGGTGAGTGGCCGAGCGGTGAGCGCAGTGAGCGCAGTGAGCGCTAGATGTGCGTGGTGAGTAGATGAGTGCTGAGTGGCCGAGCGGTGAGCGCGGTGAGCGCAGTGAGCGCTAGATGTGCGTGGTGAGTGGACGAGCGGTGAGTGGATGAGTGGTGAGCGCGGTGAGCGCTAGGGGCGGCTGTGCTGCTCCCACGTGGCGCCGCTCGCCATGCCGATGACGCAGCAGGCGATGCGCTTCCCCGAGTTGCCGTGGAGACGGCTGCCCTCGTCCTCCCCGCGGCCCAGGTCGTCCTCGCCCTCGTGCACCTGCGTCGCCACACGGTTCCAGCTTTACCAATCATCGCGAGCAGCGTGCAAATTGTTTGGGGTATTTTGGAATTGCTAGCGCCGCCTCATTGCTGCGGTCTCAGCTCCGGGGCTCTGAGACGGATCCTGGCTGGGAACTCCTCGTGGCGAGATCGGAGGGAGAAGCGATGGGGAAGTGCGCTGGGTGGGGAGAGCGTGTGGGGCGATGGTGGGGGGGAGGGGGGGAGGTGCGAAGGTGGGTTGGACGGGGCGATAGTGGGGGAGTGTTGGGGGGGCGATGTATGGTGGAGAAGCGATGGTGGGGGGGGAGGCAAAGCGTCTGACAAACGGTGTGCCCACCACATCTACCCTCACCCCTCCCCCCACCAATCCCCTCCCCTTCACCAGGAGGCTCCCACCACCCCCCCCAACCCTCTCCCCCCACCACGACCCCCACATCTACGAGACCCCTCCGGCCGGCCGGGTGTTGCTCTGACCACGATGGAGCGGCCCACGATGGAGTCGGGCCCGTACAGCGTGGCTTGCAGGCGGGGCAGGAGCTGCTGCACGCGGCCCTGCGCGTCCGGCTGGAAGTTCCCAAAGTCCCCGGGGTGGCTGGTGGGGGGGGGGGGGAAACCGGCCGATGTAGTTAACACCTCGCCAATCGGTGGCGGCGCAAGCAGCCACCGCCAAAGCGTTGTCTTCAAGATGAAAGTTGCTTTACGGAGTGAATGTCGCCCCCGTCGGGAGCGTCGGTGCCGGTGCTGAGCCCCCCCCCCCCTCACCTTCCGTGGTGGGCCTCGTGGGGGTTGAAGTGGGGCCCCGCGGCCTCACAGCCCGGCGCGATCTCCCCGTACGCGTGGACGTGGATGCCGTGCAAGCGCCGCTCGCGCGGGAACCCCTCCAGGCGCAGCGCCATCTCCAGGGGCTCGAGCACCGACTGGGCCACGCGCGTTGCCACAGACACAGCACACGCACACGGTACACACACAGCACACACACACGGCGCACACACACAGAGCACGCGGTACACACACACAGCACATGCACACAGCACACACACACACACAGCACACACACACGGCGCACACACACAGCACACGGTACACACACACAGCACACGCACACAGTACACACACACGGCACACACACACACAGCACACGGTACACACATACAGCACACGCACACAGCACACACACACGGCGCACATACACGGTACACACACACAGCACACGCACACAGCACAAATCAAACGTACATTGCATACACATCACCATCATACATCACACGCACACTGCACACGCACATAGAACACACATCACACGCACAGCACACGCACACAGCCTGCGCAGCACACAGCTCGCGCAGTACACAGGCAGCAAGCAGCACACAGCACAGCACGCGCGCAGAGTACACGTACACAGGACACGCAGAGCACGAACATCTTGCAGACATCACACGCGAGGGCGGTGGTGTGGCCAGGACCCCCCACGCCCTCCTTCATCTCCCCAGCGCTCATGTTTGGGGCCGTCCACGCGATTTTGGACGACTTTTGACCCCCCCCCCCTTCGTCACACGGCTTCACAAAAAGTCACAACCCCCCTCAAATATGACGTCACAAAGCTCTGCCCTCCAGCCCCTCCCACAAAGATGAAACATGTTTCAAATCGCTTTAAACTATTGTCATTGTAGTGCGTATTTAATGTGGCGCTGCACTCTGATGTTGTAGGAGAAAACATGCATTAAAAAGTCTATTTAATTAAGTAGAACGTGTTGTCTATATTTATTTAAAGTTGCGCATTTTGATGTGACGTCACATTTCTCAAACCTCTCCCCCCCTCGTCACACATCGTCACAAATGTCTGACCCTCCTCCCCCCAGGTGCGTGACGTCATTTATTGACGGCCCCTTTACACATCGCAGCCGGGTACTCAATTGAGGTTAGGTCACTCTAGGAGAGGCCCAGGACTGGTTCAAATGTCCTTCACTGATGTTAGCCGTGAGTAGGATTAACACTCGAGTTGCAGAATTCATAGCGCAGCGCGCTAACCACTACACCACCGCTCCTCACACATCACAACAACAACCGCCATACGTCACTAAGTGGCGGTGATGTTGCCACGGCGCTTGTGCCAGGCTATGTGCACGTTAAGGTCACGTAGATTGTCGAACGCCCGCTGGCACGAGGTGACGGGACAAATCCAGGTGCCATGGGTCGACTGAGTCAACGCACAGGTCAAAGGTCAGAGTGAGTTCCTACTGAAATAAGCATTGGAGGTTGTTGCTCATCTCGTGCTCACAACAGTGGCGGTGGAAATTCCATATTACTATGGCAGGAGCAAGTTTTTTTACAAACCGCCAGAGTGATGATGGAACGAGTCAACCCGCCCAATGGTAGATTCTGTCTGAGAAGTGCTCGTGAGGGTATCGGGAGGGTATCGTGAGCGCAAGCGAGCGAACCTTCTGGTGGAAGAGCACCACTCCTCGTACGGGGATCTGCGAGTCCGCAGCCTGCGCCCGGTTGGGCTCCATGGCGCAGACTGCACGGAGCGGCTCCCCGCGCGGGTCAGGGTGCAACAGACTCCGCTGGGGGAATCGTCACACGGGGAATCACATGGACATCATTCAGGAATCACACGGAAATCACACGGGAATCATTCAGGAATCACGGGGGCATTACAGGGGAATCACACGAGAAGCAGAGGGGATTCACATCGGAATCACACAGAAATCACACGGGAATATCATGGGAATCACATGGGAATCACACAAAAATCGCACAAAAATCACACGGGAATCACATTGGAATCACATTGGAATCACATGGGAATCACAGGAATTGCACGGGAATCGCAGGGGAATTACAGGGCAATCACAGAGGAATCACAAGGGAATCAGAAAGGAATCACACGGGCATCACAAGGGAATAACATGGGAATCACATGGGAATCACACAGGAATCATTCAGAAATCAGAAGGAAATCACAGGGGAATCTCACGGGAATCGCAGAAGAATCACTGGGGAAACGACACGGGAACCACATGGGAATCACAAGATAATCACAGGAGAATCGTACGGGAATCACAGGGGAATCATAATGGAATCACGGGAATCACATGGGAATCACACGGGAATAGCAAAGGAATTACATGGGAATCATAGGGGAATGGCAGGAGAATCACATCGCCCTGAATGTCTCAGTCTTATGAGACCCCTGAAGCTGAGCCGTTGTCTGCCCGGTTCATCCTGTCTTGGGAACAGGAATACCACCTCTTTGGTTCTTTCGGTAAAGTGACGTAGTTAGAAATAAAATAAAATGAGAACCAAAGAGTATGGATTCCTGCAGCCACGAAAGCTTCAAATCAAGAGGAATACCACCCTTGGGCTGCAGCGGTGGCCAGGCGATGTTCGCGACAGAAAGATTCCCAAAAATACATCCGTGAGCTGCTTTAACTGTCAGCGCCTCGTACGCGTTATGTGGGGTTGCTCCAGGTAGTACTCCTCTCCGTGTCCCCCCGCCCCACTAAGACACGTTATCAATCGTGGCACGCACTGGCTAAACATCCAAACGGGGCAGGGACCTTCAGAAAACGAAACAAATGCGAGCGTCGTGACTCAGAGAGTGATATCCTGGACATCTGTGATGTAAAAACATAGAACCTCGTGGCTTACCGCAGCAGTCCCTCCAGCCCAAAGAAATATTCTCACTCACGAGTATGCTGCTGACCTCCGCCGCCAGGAGATATATACCACGGTGGCGGAAATCAAACCAATGTTGTAGTCCCAGGGCATCGAGTCGGCCGTTACTGCCGCCTGGGTGAGTGCGTGACTCTCACCCAGAGAGCTGTCACCTTCTCCTCCACGTTCCGCAGCGTCTCCGCATCTGCAGAGAGAGAGAGAGACACGTCAGCCGGGAATTGTGTACAGTCTCTGTGTGTGTGTGTGCTGAACTTCGGACGCTGTCTTTCCGACAGCCCTGTTCTTCACATGAGGACGGCTGCTTGCGTTGTGGCCGAAACGTCGTGAGAATGTAATTGTATTATGTTTTATTTTTATTATTTTATTATTTCCCTCCTACGTGACTTTACCGAAAGAACCAAGAAGAAGTGCTGAACTTGTGTGGCACCGCTATGGAGCCAGTCCGTAATAAACTAAACACAACCAGAAGCGGTGGTAAATAAATGAGTTTGTCAATCCGGACGATGATTTAAAAGTGCACAGCTCCCAGTGGCTTCCTGAGATCGGCAGGAAGAGGCGTTCCAGACGGCCGCAGAAGCGCATCTGAAAGCGCCGCGCGATGCGGTGACCGCCACCGTCTGTGTTTGATGGCAGCAGCCAAAGCAGCTGCGAGGATGATGACGGAGTTGGCGCGATGGTTCATGCTCCTTGACGACATCAGCGAGGCATTGTGGCTCATTCGTGGCAAGCCAGTGGTGGACACTCCACATTTCCATTGTGCGGGCGAATCTAACCACAGGGCAACCACGCTTGTCTTTCCCACGTAGTGGTGTTTCTTTTATCGGCCACGGAAAGATGATGGGCTGAGTGAACCTCCAATCGGGATTTGACCTCACAACCTTCCGATTGCAAACCGCTCGCTCTCGTGGTGAGTCACCTAACCCTCACCCACACAACCACGTGTGCACTCATCACCACCACCACTCACCATCACCACTACCACTCACCACCACCACTCACCACCACCACCTCTCACCACCACCACTCACCAGCACTCACCACTATATTAATATAGACCCTCGTTCAGTAACCACGGCGATCGGCGCCTGTCGTGATTTGATCGCTGCTGACGATGAGTTCATCAGCGTGCGCGACGAGCGGCTTGGCCCAGAAGTCGCCTGAATCTACGAAGCCCCGCGGCGTTATGGAGCCAGTCCCGCTGTGGGTTCATCATCATCATCAGCAGCAGACATCCACCCGTCCACGTGGCCGTAACCGCCATCCCGCCGCCCCAGAGCAAGGGGCCTGCGGGCCTGTGGTTGGCTACGTACGGTGCGAAAAAAGTTCCACATACAACGTGCCCGCTCTCAGCAGCACCGGCGTCTGGACCCCATCCAGTGCAGCTGCACAGCCTGCGCGCTGAAAGGTCGCAGGAACTTTAATAAGAGCGCACTGGAGGCCAGCCCCACCCCGCACTCCGAACCCGCCCGGACCCACCTCCGCCACCTCCAGAGCAGCCCTCCCTCCTCGAGCTGTCAGGCCGCCTCCTGTAGGCGTTCCCGCAGGTGAGCAGAACGGCCGCGCACAGCAGCCAGGTAAGAGCCCGGGTCGCCATCGTCCTCCTCTCGCTGTCACCGTCTCAGCCGCAAATGGCCAGCGGAGTCTCGCCAGAGACCTCTCGACCCGAGTCCCTCGCCCCCCCCCTCCCTCCCCCCTGGGCAATGATTAACCCGGGCTGGGTGCGCGCCGAGTGTGAACCGACCGCGAGAGTGAACCGACCAACCATCCCCGAGCAAACACCGCGCCGCCCCGCGTGATGCCAGAGCAGGCGCCGCAATCCGCCTACTACACAAAAAAGGGTCCCCTTCGGCCACAAATAAACAAACAGCGATATCGCCCCCACCCCCCCACGGACTTCTGGGAATACCGAATATTTATTTTGCTGATGTCACTCGACAGTGATTTACTCTTCACATGAGCACTGGTGGCATTGGCTCGTTTCCCGTTGGCGTCGATTCTATTGGACAGTGGACGACCACCGTCGTCGTGCTCACAGACTAGTACCTATTTTCGTGACCCCGGAGGAATGATGGTGCGAGTTAGAACTTACAGCCTTCCCATTGCGAGCCGCTCGCCCACCGCGGAGCCATGTGGCTGCGTGCCAGTGGACCACGAGAGAGTATTTACGATTGCTTCTGTAACGCGGTTGTTATTTGTTATGCTCCGATGGTCTATTTTATTTATTGCTCCAATTTCTACATGGGACGTCACAGTGCCCCTTACTGGACATCTGTGGAAATAGCTTTATAACTCATCGGATTCCTCCAGTATAATGATTCTTATTCTGACGTTTAATACCTCGTCTCGTATACAGCGGGCCGTGGGTTTGATCCCAACCCTGACGCCCGTTGTATATTTGTAGTTTCGGTGTCTCTCTCTCCCCGTGGTCGCGTGGATTTCTCTCCGGGTCCACCGGGGTTTACCCCTTTCACATTGAGAATCAACGGCACGCGTTGAGAGTATTTGGCTGCTTTGAAATTCGACACGATGATAAGCCACTTCGTTGAGCTATGAATTGTGGCGAGGTGGCCTTGTGAAACATAGCTATGTAGCTCAGTGGGCTTCACCTGCTAAAGTTTATCTGGCGCGCTCTTGTCTGGCTTCCAACATTATCCAGCGGCTCCGGGCCGATCAAACGAAACTGGCAAACCGCTCCAAAGGCCAGAACGAGTTCGGCAACCCCGTGCATGACAAAGGGAGTAGTTCTAGGCTTGATTTCAGTGTTAAATATTGTATACGGTACATTATACACTACATACAACTTAATAAAATACTGCGCTATATATATCACCCCATGCAGAGTCTTCGAGATTGGAGTGGTAAGTACGGTACAATAAACAAAGTAACTGTTTTAAAGTAGGATATTTTTTTTTTGGACTACTATATTTGTATGTTTATTTCTGCTAATTGCATAAACATTGAAAACACATAAACGCGTAACGAAACTTAAAAGAATAACGTCATGTACGCATGTGCAAAAAAAACTATTTTAAATAACGACGATTAGTGATTTTCCGGCGTTTTTGAAAATCCGGTGCCCCCTCGACCCCGAATAATCAATCATCTACCGTAGTTTAGTTTAACTTGGTTGTTTTTGCATCGATTTACATTTGCTTTGTAGCTGCGCTTAGCTTTCATGTGTTTTTTTGTTGTCGTTGCCTTTGGCACCCCAGGTCACTCTTGCAACAAGACTCATCATGCAAGCCTCATGCCTTCCGGCGTTCTCGCCCTGCGGTTAAATAGAATCGTCTCGCCACTGCTTGTCGACCGGTTAATTGTCGTCACGCACGCGTGTTCAGCCTTCACTATTCCACAACCTTTGACCTTCCACAGGAGGTTTCAACCTCGCATAGTAGGCCGGTTCTTTCGTTCAACTTTTGTTGTTTTGTGTCTTTACCCCCTCCCCCTCCCAACGTTATCCCAGTCGTCATATTGTGACGTCATGCTATTGTGACGTCATGCTATTGTGACGTCGAGGATTTCATTCGGATCTCTGGCAAGGTGGGCGGCTGACGCGTTCGTGTTCTGGTGAACGGCGCGTGGAAGTAGATGTCACAGAGCTGCATCTGAAATCCCTCCACGTGACTCCAGGTCCACACACACACAGTAGGGGAACGGCACTCTCTCTCTCCCACCCACTCTCCCATTGGCAATTGGATGCTCGTCACGTGCCAGTCAAGCTCATATTGTCAATTGCCGGAGAGGTGCAGAACAACATTTTCTCTGCGCAGTATATTTAAACGATGTTTTTTTATATTTTACCAGGTAAAGCCCACTGAGCTGTCTAGCTCTTTTGTTTCAGAAACGACCTGGCCACAAGTGATTGCTCAACGAAGTGGCTCGTCATCATCATGTGGAAATGTAAAGCAGCCAAATAACTCTAAACGCGTGTTTATAAGTGTGGATAGAAAACCCTGAGAACCCGGAGAAAAATCCGGGTCCTCAGAGAGAGCACGTAAACTCCAAATATATAATAGGCGTTCGGGTTCAGATCGAACCCACGACCTCCTGTATACCGGGCGAGGTAGTTAACATATCCTATCCAACGTGGCGCCGTGCATGCGATGATGCTCGTGGCACGTGCCAATCAAACTGATATTGTCAATTCCCATTTCCTCAGTGATGTGTTTTTGTTTGTTTGTGTGCAGTCATTGTTGATCGGGCCCAGACCCATCGGCTCACTGCTCCTGCGAGAACCCGGTGTGATGACAGAACGCCGACCGTCACCTGCATTAGCACCCCGGGGTCACCAGCTGGTGCCGACTCAGCGCTCTGACCTCTGACCCACTCGGCCACCTCCGTGTATATTTTGCAATTTCACCATCGCTGCCACACAACCCCCCGCCCAGCATCCACCACGTCCCCCCCCCTTCCCGACCACAGCCACCGCTGCCAACTGAACCTTATGGCGGGACCCCGGGGTCCCATAAGCCCCTGGCTCTCGCATCAACTGCGTTGCGACGTTATTCTATGTCTGTTGAAGGCGAACGACACGGCGATCTATTCCTCTCGACGAGCTCGACACGATGTGCTAATCAAAGTTTAAAAGTTTTCTTTCTTCTGCGCATTCATCCTCGCTGCTGCGCTTGGACGACGACGTGACAACAGAATGATCCGCGCCAGGTGGGTCGCGGCGTTTATGTGCGCGGTGGGACTGGAGTCGCCAAAAATAATTAAAATAAAATAAAAATTACGATTTTGACTTCCGTTTATTCGGGACCCCGGGGTCCCGCCATAAGGTTCAACTGTGGCTACCGCTGTGCATAGAGACAGAGGGGAGGGGGGCACAGCAGGGGAGTTTGTTCACGTGAGGAGACACCGCTGGGGACACCGCGGGGACACTGCGGGGCCCGTTCGGCGGCTTCTCGCCGTGGTGTTGACTAAAGAAAACACGAGAGGGAGGTGAAGAAAAATTGAGTTTTACATTTCATTAAAACTGCTTTTTGTGTTTAGTTTGTTGTGCCTTACTAACACAAATCACACTCACACACAATGTGAAACAGATGCCTCACTAACACGTGTTGACGAGTGTGTGCACGTGTTCCCTCTCTGTATTGCAGCTGAAGTGTGGTCGAGAGGGGTGGCGGTGGTGCATGGGGGGTGGGTGGGGGGCGATTGAGAACCGCGGCACTCTCTACGCCGTCGCCGTCGTTCAACAAAAGCGGAGTCCCCGCGCGGCGCTCTGCGACGATCTTTATTGACAAACGCAGGGCCGGTGACATCGCGCGCCGTCAACACCTCCCTCCTCTTGATGGCCGCCGTGGCACAAGGGGCAGGGGCAGGTCTTTAAAACGCTCGCGCGTTAAATCAAAACCGTCAAAAACGACCGCAGGCCTGCGAGAGCCCCCTGGTCGCAGTGGAACGCGCCGGTAGCCGTACAGACGGCGGCGAGAGTGGAGCCCCGGGCGGTGGCTGCGGTGCCAGCGGTGGTGCCGGCAGTGGTGCGGGCGGTGGTGCCGGTGGTTGTGCCGGCGGTGGTGCCGGCGGTGGTGCCAGCGGTGGTGCGGGGGTGGTGGTGCCGGCGGTGGTGCGGGCGGTGGTGCCGGCGGTGGTGCGGGCGGTGGTGCCGGCGGTAGGTGCGGGCGGTGGTGCGGGCGTTAGCTACAGGAACTCCTCCTGCAGGGCCTCCACCCACCTAGGGGACACAGGCGAGAGCACAAGCGCGTGTCTTCTTCTGGCGGTGGGTCGAGTGTGCGAAATACGTTACGTGCGATTGGAGCGATCTGCTCACGTTCTGGGGCCCGCTGTTACAACGACTGCCCTAGGTACACACACACAGACACAGGTCAGGCTTCCTGGAACCAGCCTGCTGCTGCAGTAGCACAGCCACCCGCTGTAACAGCGAGCTGTCGGCACAGAGTCGCGAGCTGCGGGCCGCCGCGACTCTGTGAGTGACGCTCCCGGCACGTTCCTCTCTTCCAGTTGTGTCTCTCCAACAGACGTCCTCGATTGATCAGCAAACTCGTTGTATGTGATTTTTTTTTAGTAAAGGAGCCGTCCATAAATGACGTCACGCGATTTTGGACGATTTTTGAACCCCCCCCCCTCGTCACACGGCGTCACAAAAAGTCAGACCCCCCCCTCAAAGATGACGTCACAAAGCCCTGCCCCCCCCCCAGGTGCGTGACGTCATTTATGGACGGCCCCAAACTCCAAATATACAACAGGCGTCAGCGTCAGGATCGAACCTCCGACCTCCTGTATACGAGGCGAGGTAGTTAACATCTCACAGCCACCGTGGCGCCATAACATGATGAAACGGAGGTGGGTGACAGCAGGTTGAGCGGAGATGTTGGAAGCGGGACTTTGCAGTGCGAACGCATCTCAAAGACGAACGTTTGCGGTCGGGCAGTGCGTAATCACCCGCGATGTCGTGCGGATCGGTCACGTGGCAAGTGATGATGGAGATGGAGACCAAAAATCTAAAGCGCAGTAGGAAGCGTGAACAGAAACAAGGGAGGAACCCGCGGATTTGAGAACACGCGCGCGTTCAGACGTAGTTGCGACTGTTAAAAAAAGTTGATCTCGGGCAGAACACGTGGCCTGAGAGGGATGATAGCCGGTGGGCGAAATGTTAACTCCCTCGCCTGGTGTGCAGGATGTCGCGGGTTCGATCTCGACCCGAAAGCCTGGAAATTTGAAGTTTGCGTGTCTCTCTCCCTGTGGTGGCTTGGATTTTTCTCCGGGTCCTCCAGTTTTTCCATCACACCTCTAGAAACGTGCGTTTAGAGTATTTGGCAGCTATAAATGTACACGTGATAACCCACTTCGTTGGGCTATCACTTGAGACCAGGTCGCTTCTGAAAAAGAGCGATATTGCTCAGTGGGCCTTACCTGCTAAAAAATGGTTTCGTTTTAGTAGTTTAACTACAGTGGCAGCCAAAGGAATGGGGCGCATCTGACAGCACGTCTGCTGCAGAGATGGAGCGATGGAATCAGCTCGTGTTCAGGTGCGAGGTGGATTTATAAAATCGCAGCACCGTGAGACACTGCGATGGCTTAGCGAGGCCTTTATCCGGCGGTGGATTGTCATCCCTGCACATCGTTGTCTATAATTACACTTCATCGTATCTGAAAATCTACGTCACAGCTGCACAGGCATTGACACAGATGCACAATTCATGCAGTAGCCGCACATTCATCGACTTGCCCAGCTGCGCGGCGTACGCTACAACCGCGATGTCTATAATTACACGCGATCGTAGCATGCGTGGCCACGTCACCATCATACGTCTGTAGTGACACATTATCATAATGCTCCACCATGGCGGCACGCCCGCCATCGGGCACACAGCCACACATGGCCAGGGGCAGAGCGGTGCCCGGAGGACACAGCTGGCGCTGTCGGTCACGCGGGGCCGAGCGAGACAATCCCGTGCCCCCCCCCCCCCACACTCGGGGACTGCGTCATGCAGCCTCGCGCCCGCGTCATGGAAGAGAGGAGACGCAGAGTGGTCACGTGTTAAAAAAAAAACGACGCGTAGCCTTAACAGAGTGTTGGGGGCACGTGCTGTGAACGAGCAGCACCTATTGAGGGCCGGCACGGCACAAGAAGGGGTGGGGTGGCCAGCACCACGCCCGGCCGCGTTTGTCTCCCCAGTGGCGATATTTACACATCGCACCAAGTACTCATTTAAGGCTGAGTCGACCTAGAGAAAGCCCAGGACAGGTTCAGATAATCGTCACTGGTTGTTGGCCGTGAGCGGCGGCCTTGGCTGGCCATCGAACAAAGGCGGTCACTGCATCGCGTGCTTTCAGGTGCGCTTCTGCGGCCGTCTGGAACGCTCTTCCTTCTGATAGTTAAGAAGCCCACTGAAGCTATGCACTTTGAAATCATCATCTAGATTTAAAACTAATTTCATTAGAGCTGCTTTTTGCATTTAGTTTGATGTCTTCCCTCCGCCTCACCTCGCATTAGCCACGGTTGGCTACAAACGAGAAAGTATAAAGCACACGACGACAACAACAACAAAGTGATCCCTGCTCAGATGAGCATTGAGGCGGTGCTCATCTCCTGTTAACAGTCCTAAGCCAGTGGCGGAAATTCCACGTTCCTACGGCAGGGATGGGAGTGAGCCCATCCACAGGACAATCACTACTCATTGGTTCTTTCGGTAAAGTCACGTAGATATAAAATAAAATAAATCACGACATTTCGGGCGCAACACAAGCGTCCGAACGCATGCTTTCCCACCTGATGACGGATGCTTGTGTTGCGCCCGAAACGTCGTGATTTATTTTATTTTCTACCCACGTGACTTTACCGAAAGAACCAAAGAGTATGGATTCCTGCAGTCACGAAAGCTTCAGATCAAGATGGGACAATCACTGTTGGTTTCCCTTCCAATCGGCACGACATACACAGCCTGTGGAATATGCACGGGGGCTGTGTGTATTTTGAGAGGCAGCGCACGATGTAATGGCGCAAGCGAGTGCAGATGAGATAGAGAGAAAGTGTAGCAAACGTGAACGTGCCAAGCAGGCATCACAAGCGAGAGCGCGTGACACGGACTACAGAAACAGGACAAAGGTAATTGAATCTTGCATGCAATCCTGACAATGCATAGCATAAGTGGGGCAGCGGCCGAGTGGGTGGTGGTGGGGTGGGTAGGTGGTGATGGAGTGGGTGGTGGTGGGGTGGGTGGTGGGGTGTGGGTGGATGGTGTTGGAGTGGTTGGCGTGGCGTGGGTGGTGGTGGGGTGGGTGGTGATGGGAGTGGATGGAGGTGGCGTTGGTGGTGGGTGGTGGTGGAGTGGGTGGTGGTGGAGTGGGTGGTGATAGTGGGTGGTGATGGGATTGGGTGGTGATGATAGTGGGTGGTGATGATAGTGGGTGGTGATAGTGGGTGGTGATGGGATTGGGTGGTGATGGCGTGGGTGGTGATAGTGGGTGATGATAGTGGGTGGTGATAGTGGGTGGTGGTGGGGTGGGTGGTGATAGTGGGTGATGATAGTGGGTGGTGATAGTGGGTGGTGATGGGATTGGGTGGTGGTGGCGTGGGTGATGGGGTCGGTGGTGATGGAGTGGGTGATGGTGGCGTGGTTGGTGGAGTGTAGGGTGGATGACGGAGGAGTGGGTGGTGGAGTGGGTGGTGGAGTGTGGGGTGGGTGGTGGTGGTGGTGGGGTGGGTAGTGGAGTGTGGGGTGGGTGGAGTTGGTAGTGGTGAAGCACCTCTGCGCCGTATCGGTGTCGGGCGCCCGGAACGTGAACACGGCGCGCCCGCGCTGCAGCAGCTGGAACGTCGGGTGAGCCGCGTGCGGCGCCGGGGGCAGCACCGGCACCGTCACCGTGAGCTCGTCCAGCGGCAGCGTCTCACACGGCGCCGCATCCTGCACGCAGAGCGCGCGTTAGCGACGGGCGGTGCGGCGGGACGCGTGCCCCACCGCGGTACAAGCCCCACCGCACCGCCCGGCACGGCGGGGCGAGCTTCACGCCAGAGCCGGGGATTCGGTTGCTTCAAGCGAGTTCCCCGCTTCCTCTCCCCTCTACTTCTTTTTCTGGAAGATTTGCTGGTTTCTCCAGGATGTTTATTTTGCGCGTCGTCGCTTTAAGATGTTCTCTGTTCATATTTTGTTTGTTGCGGTTGCACCCGACTCAAGAGCCGCATGGCTCACAGGGCTATACCTAGTACATGAAACTTGAACTCCGACCTCTCCATCCGGTCCGATAACTTCACTTGCGATCATATGGGACACACATATAGCCTCGTGTGACGTTAACATGCCTTAATGTTCCTATTAAATGATTTTATTTTAAGTAACTGCTTGCAGAAATTGTGTATTTACTTAATGGTCAATTATTTACTTACCCAGGAAAGCCGAGCTGAGTATTTAAACTATTTTATCAGCAGGGTCCCGCTACTTTTGAAGCGTGGCCACCGGTGGCGATATTTCATGATGAGCTACAGGCAGTGAGCCGGCGAGCCCACACAACACAGGGAGAGAGAGAACATACAAACTCCACACAGAGTCAGGAGTCGAACTCAGGTACGACCTTGCTGTGAGACGCACGTGTTACCAATGTGCTACCATGCCTATGCTTGTACGGCATTTACAATTTATTCTGTTAATGGGATGGTCTTTTTTCAGCTTGCGTTATTTCGGTGAACCAGGTCGCTATGAGATGTTAACTACCTCGCCTGGTATACAGGAAGTCGTGGGTTCGATGCTGACCCTGACGATGCCTGCTGCTGCTGCTGTATATTTGGAGTTTGTGTCTCTATCGTGTAGAATTTTCTCCGGGTCCTCCGATTTGCCCCCTCCACATTTAGAATCAACATCACGCGTTCAGTGTTCGGCTGCTCGACATTTCCACACGATAAGCCACTGGGCAGGTCGCTCGTTACAAAGAGCTATACATGGGCCTTCTTGCCTGGTAAAACACGCTTTGTAGTTTAGTATCATTTGTTTGCTTTTGCACTGAATTCCATTGTGCACCCTGGTCCCTTGAGTTCTCACCCTGCGGTTAAATAAAATGAACTCGGTGGTGTTACGGGTGAGTAAAATAGTAAAACGGTAAATAAAGGTGACTCTCGAAGCAAGCCTCACGTTGTCCCCCACGTCACCCCCCCCCCCCCACACACACACCTGGCTGGTGCGGTAGGTGTAGAGCACGCGGTCCCGCACCACGAACCACAGGCACTTCCAGTGCTTCTTGCCGCCGCGCATCCGCTCCAGGGGCCCGCTCATCGCGCTGGGCTCAGCGGCCTGCGTGGAGTTGCGCCCCCGCACACATGCCAAGCACATGCCAAGCACATGCCAAGCACACACCACGCACCACGCACCACGGCACGGACAGCGGATAAGCGAGCGCACGGGTGGCACCGATCGATAGCTTTTGATGAAAGAGATCGAGGAGGCAGCGATTGGTTAGGTCGTGGTCCCGCGGTTAACCGTGTATAATCCGTTCCACGACAACTACCGTTAGCCGAAATAATACCGTTGACCGAATATAGGAATTCCATGTTGAAAGCAATAATCCCTAATGTAAAGAAAGCTAGTCGAAGAACGCTCATAAATGAGCTCCGCTGATTGGTCGAGAGCATGCGCTCAGCCCCACTTCCGAGCGCTCGGATTGGCTGAACTTGGCGCCCGCGTGAATAACGTCAGCACATTACCGTCACATCAACATTTGCAATGTCAGTCTAAGGGGCCGTCCATAAATGACGTCACGCACCTAGGGGGGGGGGGGGTCAGGCATTTGTGACGATGTGTGACGAGGGGGGTGGGGGTTGAGAAATGTGACGTCACATCAAAATGCGCAACTTTAAATAAATATTGACAACACGTTCTACTTAATTAAATAACTTTTTAATAATTGGTTTCTCCTACAACATCAGAGTGCAGCGGCACATTAAATACGCACTACAATGACAATAGTTTAAAGCGATTTGAAGAATGTTTTTGGGGGAGGGGGGCAGAGCTTTGTGACGCCTTGTGTCGAGGGGGGGGGGGTCAAACATCGTCCGAAATCGCGTGACGTAATTTATGGACTGGCCCCTAAACCATGGGGGTCCTATGGGAGGCGATATATTAACTGCAAAAAACCGTTAACCAATGGCACTGTTAACCGAGGGACTTTATTTACGTAGGAATAGGCTCAAGTGCGGCAACGCCAGCTGTAGCCACTGCACAGACGATGAATACCCCGTTCGGAACACGGCGGCTAAAACTCGAACACAAACGCTGCGGGGCTACGTGAACGAGTGGCGTTATTTAGAGTCGCGTTATTTAGAGTCGCGTTGCTTCGAGTGGCGTTATTTCCACCACTTCGGAGTTGAAATGACGCTGACGGCACCGCCCGCACCGCCCGCAACACCCCCGTGCCACCGGGCTGAGGATGCCTGGCAGAGGGAGCGGATGGGCGGTCGCTCACCTTTCGCGGGCCGTGCTGCAGCCGCTCCTTGTGGCGACGCTCAGGGAGGCGTGGAGAGGGGACGCTCGGCGAGCCAATCTCCGCTGCAAGAAACGCCACGCGGGGTGGGGGGGGCGGGGTGGGGGGGGGGGGGACGCGCACGTGAATGTGGGAATCGCTCGTTGAACCCCTCACTCACTCACTGGCGCGCGTGCGCTGAGCTCGCGGTGTTACAGGAACACGGCTCGCGACTACAAAGCAGCTCGAAAACAAGCTGCTGGCATTGAGCCCCGGGGGGTGTCCGAGATGGAGGTTGGGAACGTTGTGACCGAGACAGCGGAAGAAGCAGTGCGGGAGTCCGGTAGAGGGCACGGGCGTGCGAGCGGCGTGCCCACGTTATCCGGCAAAAACGGCCGCACTGGGTGGGGGCGATGAGACGAGCCCGGCCACCCGTAGGAAGGGAAGAGCTAAGATCAGACGGTGGGAGACTCTCAGGGCAGACCTCGGAGATGTCCCTGCTCATCTCCTCTGCAGCAGCTGCGGAGTCTGATGGTAGGGGAGAGGGCTTTGGTGACATGCGGTGCTGGTCGTGGCGGCAGCGTAGCGGTAAAGCGCGCTGCGCTACGGACTCGGCTGCCCGAGTTCGATTCCAGCTCACGGCCAACACCAGTGACGATTATCTGAACTGACGAAGCCTCAAATGAGTAGCTGGTGCGGTGTGTAAACATCGCCACTGGGGAGACAAAGGCGGTCGGGCGTGGTGCTGGCCACCCACCCCCTCGTGTGCCGTGCCGACCTTGACAGGTGCTACTCGCTAATATAACTTGTCAGTTAAGGCTTTTGCCAGGATGGCACCATGATTTTGGACCAACAATACTGAATGGTTCTGACATGCTACATGCGTGCCTCGTAGGGATGAGGTTTGAATTTAACATTTCCAATCTGTTTCAGATATTAGGTGATCCACATGACAATGCACGGCAGCACGCGGTAGTGCATAGCAGCACGCGGTAGTGTGTGGTAGTGCATGGCAATGCGCGGTAATCCATGGTAGTGCACGGCAGCGCGCGGTAGTGTGTGGTAGTGCACGGCAGCACGCGGTAGTGTGTGGTAGTGCACGGCAATGCGCGGTAATCCATGGTAGTGCACGGCAGCGCGCGGTAGTGTGTGGTAGTGCACGGCAATGCGCGGTAATCCATGGTAGCGCACGGCAGCACGCGGTAGTGTGGTAGTGCACGGCAATGTGTGGTAGTCCATGGTAGTGCACGGCAGCACGCGGTAGTGTATGGTAGTGCACGGCAGCACGCGGTAGTGTGGTAGTGCACGGCAATGTGTGGTAGTCCATGGCAGTGCACGGCAGCACGCGATAGTGTGTGGTAGTGCACGGCAGTGTGTGGTAGTGCACGGCAGCACGCGATAGTGTGTGGTAGTGCACGGCAGCACGTGGTAGTGCACGGCAGCACGCGGTAGTGTGTGGTAGTGCACGGCAGTGTGTGGTAGTGCACGGCAGCACGCGTTAGTGTGTGGTAGTGCACGGCAGCACGCGTTAGTGTGTGGTAGTGCACGGCAGCACACGATAGTGTGTGGTAGTCCGTGACCCTGGGGCTGTACTCACAGGCGCCGTGCAGCGAGCTGTAGCACGGGTCGCACACCTTGGCCGGCTTGTCCCGGAGGTGCTTCAGCGGGAACTTGTGAGCGGAGCAAGCGCGGCACACGATCTGTAGGGAGCACGCACAAAGACAACGATCCCCCGTGTAGCCTTCACAGACTGTCGGGGCAAGTGCCGTTAACGAGCACCAATGAAAGCCGGCATGGCACACGAGGGTGGGTGGCCAGCACCACGCCCAACCGCCTTTGTCTCCCCCGTGGCGATGTTTACACACCACACCAGGTTTGAAGGTGAGTCGACCTAGGAGAGGAACCGGAGGATCCGGTTAAAATTATTGTCGCGGGTGTTCGCCATGAGCGGGAATCGAACTTGGGTGGCCGGGCTCATAGGTCACGGAGACTCGCGGCGCCGCTCACTAGCCCACACCACGCACACGGCTGCCGCCCGAGTGAGTTCCTGCGATGTTTGTGGTTACGAGTGAGTCCCTGTGGTGTTTGTGGTGACGAATGCTCCCCGCGGTGACTCAGAAGTGTGACCCATGGAGGTGGCTGAGTGGCGCCCAGAGGTCAGAGACGGCGGGCAGCACCGCCGAGATGCTGTTCTGTCGTGGGTTTGCCGTTGCACATTATTAGAGAATAATCATGCGTTGAGTTGCTGTGGTTGCCTCGCATGATGTTTGTTATTCAGACGTTTTTAAAATTGAATGTAACTTCTCCGACAGGAGTCTAACTTCTCAAACACCGTGAGCCCCATAACGTGCCAGAGACATCGCCTACTCCAGGTGCTCATTGTGGCGATCAGCTGCGCCACGCCAGGCATCCCACAAGAGGCCCAAACAAAACACAAACCACCTTTGTCTGTGAAAGAGGGGAGGATCAATAGATTGACGGCCAAGCTGACGAGGTGCAATTACACTGGCAAGGTCTCCCATCGCCGCGCAAAAATAACAACGGAAATAAGAAATAACCTCTATTTCATGTCGCGCCTTTCACGCTCAAGTGCCTGAAACGGTCGTAACGTAAGAAAAAAAGTAAAACGGCACCAACCATGGCAACGATCGGATGAGAAACGAATTAAATCTGGAATCGCGGTGGTCACGTGCGGCAGGGGAGCTCCAGGAATTGCTAGGCTGAAGTGATGCAGCGGTGGCGGCTGTTTAAAGGAGATGTGAAGATTTGCCGTTGTTGGAGAGTGAGGGTGTAGAGAGTCGTTGAAGAGTGAGCCTGTAGAGTCGCGTGGATTTTTTCCCTCCACATTTAGAATCAACGTGCATCTATATTACTGAGAGTATTTGGCTGCTGTACATTTACACGTGATAAGCTCCTTCGATAAGCGATCATTTGCGATAGCCAATTCGCTTCTTATAGAGCGAATAGCTCAGTTGGGCTTTACGCGTGTAGAGACATCGTTGCATGTCACTGTGTGAAGCGATGTACTGACATCGCAAACACCACCGAAGGCGGACGCAGTTACCAGCCCTAGCAGGGCTCGAGGAGCACGGACTGACAGCAACCAGTGGCACCCTGCGCTGGGTGCAGTGCCAGCTCCTACAGAATAGGGTGCTGGGGAGGTGCCGCTTCGGGAACGTGGTTCCACGGGGCCACAGCGCTCTGGTTGACCCCGGAGGACACGTGACCGGGGGCGTCTGCCCGGGGACCCCCAAAAGGGGGGCTGGGGGGACCACGTGTCCAGGAGAGATCCTCGTCGATGATTTGAGAAGGGGGTCGTGACGAGGGGCGGAGCGAGCCCCGCCACGGGGGGTAAAAGCCGGTATCCCAGTGGGACAGACTGCTGTTGTTATCCTCAAGAACCGACGTTCTACGCCTACGTCCGAAGACAAGACCAACACGGGACCTGGCCCCAAGCTGGGGTCCCGTCCCTCGTAGCTACTCCCGGTGTAGTTGGTGTAGGTAGCCTGGTGGACCACCACCATAGGTTGTTAACTGGTGAAGGGGCAGTTACCCCTTTGTGTTTGGTGTTGGTATTAATAAATGTGTTGCCTCCAAACAGTACGCCTGAGTCTCCGTGTGAGCCCACTACACCTGGTAAGATGAAAATAGTTTATTTTTATTTGTATACTTTTTTAGAGTGATTGGTTTACCTTTCCTATACGTTGAACTCCTATCATGTTGTTGTGTTGTTTGCTGTTGTAACGTTCTGAGCCCGTGCCCCTCCTGGACATCTGTGAAAAATAACGTGTATAGCTCTCCTGCGGTTATAAATGGAAATTCTGATTGTGAACTGAAGGAGAAGATCCACAGAGGAGAGAACGCCTCCTGCACTGAACTTTGCCAATCCAGTCACAAGCCGTGATCAACACGAGCTAAAGAGTGACTCTATAATTGCGGGTCCGTGGACGACCATCACGGTGAAGATACGTGTCGTTCAGCTGCATACCTGTCAACCCCTTATCAGTGCCCTACCTTATGACAGACCAATGCAGGCCTTGTTGGTCACCCCGTGCCCTTATAAATCTCAACGTTCATCCTACAAAGTCCCATCACGAGGGAAAAACACAAACAAATAGACAAAAAACATGTTTTGCCGTATTGAAACGGCTGTACGCCGTATAGACCTGAAAACTCAGTGTCCCTGTACAAGAATACGGCGTAAACCATAGTATGGGTTCACAGCTGCAGCTGTCGTCTGATGGGGAGAGAGAGAGAGCTGGACTGTCTACAGGCACGGGCAGACCGTGCCTACGCTTCTTCAGAGATCGTCACTTTAACACCGAGCAGCAGGGCTTGCACGACCAATATTGTCCACAACAGAGGGTTTTTTTGCGTTAGATCGCGTAAATATAAATGTGTCGCTAAACCCGCCACCACCCGACAGCTAATGAGTAAGGGTTTGTTACGTAAACACAACGTGCCAATTAGTCACTAGCTTAGCACACCGCTTGTGTGTTGGAGGGTAAACCCACTACAACAATTACAATTCGAGTACGGTGATATTTCGCCGGTAATTACAGCAACAACCGCATCATCAGTCGACATCCACAATTGTAGAGAAATCCTCCCGCTGTTTCGATCTCACATCGCGGGGGTAAATGTGATGTCGCCGCGACGGCGCCGTCGTTCGCCAAAGCCGCCAGCCCCGGCTCACTGCTGCCACGTGACTGGCACGTGGCTGGCGCGTGACTGGCACGTGACTGCCACGTGACTGGCACGTGGCTGCCACGTGACTGGCACGTGGCTGCCACGTGACTGGCACGTGGCTGCCACGTGACTGGCACGTGCGCTAATACGGCGTCAACACCACTCGCGTCGATCGGACGCCGCACTGGAGGAGCCAACGCGCGCGACGACTCCCGCGGGCGAGAGAGGGGACCGTGACTCAGGATACCGGGCCGTGCTTCAAGCCCATTCATCAATAAGCAACACCCCGCTGTACGTACTTTCGCTGCGACGTACTCGATGTATTGACACCCAGTCCCGCTTTAACGCACCGTGCGCCTCGCCATAGCGTACTCGGGATTTAAGAACTTAAGCGTTCCGCCCGTGTTGTTGTTGTTGTTGTTTTATTCCACGGAGAACATTCATGACCAGATGTCGTAAGGTGCCCGAGCGACAGCATCCCAGACTGGCTACAGTCTCTGTCATGTGTACTCTACGAACATTTTTTTCTCTCCCTGACATACCGTATTGATGGCGACAAATACAAACGGTTTGTATATTATCGTCAACTAATAACAACACATACAGTATAATAGACAAGGTAATATATCTGAATACATCAATAACATACGCTCAATAATCCACGCAGTATAAATGTGGAATGGGTTACTCCGTATCCTCTGTACCACCTCATGATCCACCATCCCACCTCTAGCAGCACTACCTACCCGTACTACCTACTAGTACTACTTCCTGCTCAAATGAGCACTGAGCCGGTGACCACCTCCTGTTCACCACCCTGGGCCAGGAGTGGACATTCCATATTCTTAGGTCGGAATCGAGTCGATCAATAGGACAGCTACTGTTGACTTCTCCACAAAGCGTCACTTATTTTATCGACCCTGGTGGGATGATGTGGATTTCAACTCGCTCCCTTCCAATTGGGAGCCGCTCGCTCTGCCTCGGAAATATTTCTAGCAGCCAAATCATCTAAATAATCCCCATAACGTTACACAATACGCGACGGGTGTGTACACTCGCAACCTCAACAACATCAGCAACATCACCCTCCAGCCCCTCAATCACGGCCCCCAACAGAGACATAAATACCAATTAAGCAGTAGATACAGATACCGTGTGTTCTCCTGTAACGCGGTAGAAGAACACAATGTTACGGAAAAATTCCGTTCTAATAAGTCATATACAGTATAATGTAGGGTAAAGCACGGTCTGTGATGACACGTGAGATGCGTATGCAGGCCGAACAAAGATTGAGGCTTTTGGGTAGCATCTAGAAGCATCCAGCAGCATCCCAATGCCTCGTGTGATGGTGATGATGATGCAGCCGTACGACCGCTTATTCCTACTCGCGCCGCGACGCAGTTGCGTTCGCTCGATCGCGTTATATCAAATTCGCATCCGCGTTATAAAAAAAGATGTGGCGTTCCCTCACACGCTCATCGCGTTCTACGTCCAATTCGCGTGATGGAAACAACAACAACAACACGCATTCCGGGAGAACAGACTGCACACGGAACCGAGAAAACCAGCGCGCGTGCGTGTGTGCGTGCGTGTGCGCGTGTGTGTGCGTGCGTGCGTGTGTGCATGTGCGCGTAGCGCGCGGGACCCACCTTCCCGCACGCGCGGCAGTGGTAGCGCCGCCACGTCAGGGAGAAGCTGGAGAGGCAGATCATGCAGAGCGGCACCCGGGCGTCGGGGATCCACGGCGGGGCTTGGGCCCCGAGCGGGGATCCCGGCTCCCCCTCCCGCGCCTCGCCACCCTCCTCGCCTGCGCTCTGGGCACACGGACAACCGTGTCGCCGTGTCGCCGTGTCACGTGTCGCTCTCGTTACGCCGCCGTGGACTCCGTCGCCCGACGTTCATCGTCGGCGGCAATCGGAAGAGCTTCGTTTTGCGTTTAGAGGTTTAAATTCACGTTTCAGTTGAGAGCGGATGGGCCCGGGATGGAGGACAGGTCTGTAGCCCCATCGCATGAAGCCGCGTGCATGTAATATGATGTGTCGTGTGTCCATTCGTCACCCCCTCCCCACACACGATCTACCCCTATAATGTTGGTGATTGTCCGACCCCCTTCCCCCCCCCCCCCATAATCAACCCCCCCTGCCCCATCAGGGACCCCCCCCCCACCGCTCTGGGTGAGCACCCAGGAATTTGTTCCCACATCCCTAGATCTGTGCAAGCGCTGGAAAGTCTCCCCCCCCCCCTCGCCTCCTTCCCCCTCGCGGTTTTTCTGTCCCCCCCCCCCCTCCTCCCCTGAAAGCCCCGACACATTCTAGCGGATTTGTGTGCACGTACCTCAATGAAAACATTTTCTTTAAAAAATAGATATTCACGAATTATCAGGTGGAGAAAAAAAGGGGGCGATCGCTTGTGTTGTGATCGAAACGTCGTAGTTTTTTTGTAATTTTTGAACCTATCTACGTGTCTTTACCGAAAGACCCAAATAATAAATATTTCACCCTTACTCGAACGCAACAGGCGCGTTCGACATCGTCGCCAGTTCGTTGCGAACGACAAATGAGGAGTGGGAAGGTGACGTGGGTGGTAAATGTTACCGGTAACATGGTTGGCTGTGTCTGGTGCGAAAGAAGTTCAACATGCATACGTAAACTCTTTTGATTTTTATCAAGGCCCCACTGAGCAATGTGGCTCTTTTTCAGAAGTTACTTGGCCACAAATGATAGCTCCAGGATGTGGCTTATCACGTGGAAATGTATAGCAGCCAAATACTCTAAACGAGTGATGTTGATTCTAAACGTAGAGGGAAAAACCGCAGGACCCGGAGAAAAATCCATGCGATCATGGGGAGAGAGAGAGACACGCAAACTCCAAATATAGAGCAGGTGTCGGGATCGAACCCACAGCCTCCTTCATACCAGGCGAGGTAGTTGTTAACTACCTCGCCTGGTATGCAGGAGGTCTTGCGTTCGATCGCGAACTTGACGCCTGCTGTTGTATATGTGGAGTTTGCGTGTTTCTCTCTCACCGTGGTCGCGTGGATTTGCTCTGGGTCCTCCGTTTTTTTCCTCCACATTCAGAATCAACATCACGCGTTCGGAGTATTTGTCCGCCATGAATTTCCACTCGATAAGCCACTTTGTCGCTTCTAGGAAATAATCTACACAGCTCAGTGGGCCTTACCTGGTAAAATAAAAACAAGTAGTTTGAGTTTAGTTTGTTGATGAGGTGAGCAGCAGCACGTGCAGGAGGTCTCTCACCTGCCCCACACTGCGGAACGTCGAGCGCTTGCGCTTGAAGTCCTCCACGGCGAGAGACACGACGTCGAGCCATGCGTCCCGCTCCTCCGGAGAGCTGCTCACACGCACACAAACGTAAAAAGACAAAGGTCCCCCCATAGCCTTAACAGACCGTAGGGGCAAGTGCTGTTAGCGAGCATCTACGAAGGCCAGAATGGCACACGAGGGGGTGGGTGGCCAGCACCATGCCCGATCTCCTTTGTCTCCCCAGTGGCGATGTTCACACACCGCAACAGGTACTCATTGAAGGCTGAGTCGACCTAAGGGAGGCCCAGGACCGGTTCAGATAATCGTCGCCGGTGGAAGCTGTGAGCGGGAATCAAACCCGGGTGACCAATTTCAGAGCGCAGCGCGCTAACCGCTGCACTACCGCTCCCCACATACAAAGTTACATGCACACAGCAATCAACACAATCATAATTCAACATCAGCGTCTCTTTCTTGATTTGAAGCTTTCGTGACTGCAGAAACTATACGCTTTGGTTCTTTCGGTAAAGTCACGTAGGTAGAAAAATAATAGATCACGACGTTTCGATCACAACACAAGCAATCGTCAGTATCTCTTGTTTCTCCCCCCCACCCCGTACATACGATGTCTTCACGCCAAACTCTCCAATATCGATCGGCACATATTGTACCGGGCTTGCGTTTCGTCGCAATAAAAACGTTCAAAAGTAAAAAGTCAGTCTTGTCTAATCGTCTTCTCTCCAGCCTGAAATAAAGGTGCCGCTGCCTGCAACGTCTGCCTGTAATATTTTGTCATCGTTGATACGTGCAGAGCGTGGATGGAGTACGATCGTCGTGGACGTGATGGCCGGTCCTGGCGGCACGTGCCCACCTTGCCGACAGAATGAACGTCTTCTCGGGGGTCGTAAAGTGGAGCTCGTTGGCGAGCGTCTCCACTGCTGGCTTGCTCGCCTGCATTCACACACGCACACACGCACACACGCAGGCACACACGCAGGCTCGCACGCACGCAGGAACGCACGCAGGCACGAGTTCGCTCGAGTCCGGTGTGCGCACGCACTGCAACGCCCCGGCGCATGCCCTCTCCGCACCTCCGATTAGCACGGTCGGCTACGTACCGTGCAAAAGAAGTTAAACGTACACACACGCACATACAATGAGCGCTGGCGCTCTCTCCACGCCCGTGCTGTACCGTGACCATGCAGCAAACTGTTCTGCACTCGGAGGTGGTGGGGGGGAGCAAGACGGTCAACTTTCCCTAAGATTCACACAAGAGGGCCCTGCATCGGAACCTGTGGATGGTTAAAATAGGGACCCCCCCCCCCCCACCCCCCACATAGGCATTCTGCCCCAGGGCCTCTCGGCACCTCTGGGTGGCCCTGGCAAGGCTGCGTGCCGACGACCGGTACAGCCGGCGGTGTCTCAGTGGACGTTAAAGCTCCGGTGGGGCCCATTGTGTGCTGGCGTCATGGTTCCACAATAAAAAAAAATTAGAGTCTTGTTCTCCTGTAATTGCGGTAGTAGTTGCGTTCCTGCAGACTACCGCGTTAGGGAAGAAATCCGCGTAATAATAAATAATGTGGGGTAAAGCACGGTCCGCGATAGGACCCTCCTGAAAATAATAATTATATTGATAATAAATAATTATATTTTCTATTGGTTGCGTGCATTGGTCACCCACTGCCCACCACCCCCCTGCTCTATCTGCTATCGTCCTCCCCTTTCATCCCCTATCTCGCACCACCAACATAAGTGCTGCCTTTTGTGCCGGTATCAATAATATAAAACAATAAAAGCAGGCTTTAATTAGTTGTTTTCCCCGCCAATAATACAGGAGGTGTTCAGACACGTTCAAAACGCGTTGCCTTTTTGCCATTCGCCTTTGTCGGTTGACGTTCTCTGGTCTAACACCGGTGCAGAAACGAGGCCATGAAGGAGGCCGTCTCTACTGGAGGCCAATCGGTTTCAAAGGCATTCAAAGGCATTGAGTACGTCATCATCAGAGCAACGTTTGCTCTGCATGTTTTATCACAAGCGTGATGTGTGGTTGACACGGAACTTGACAATGCCTTGGTGGGTGTGTCTATTTGGTGTTTGAACACCTTAACACAACTCCTGTGTATTATTGACGGTGAGGGTAACGCCCATGCTCAAGGGAGGAGGCGCAGACTGCGTGGAGGCTGCACGGATTATTTTATTATTTAGCCAACCTGGTGTGGCTCAACGTGAAATCCGGCTAGCTAGTATCCGGCCGAACGGAGTTTTACCGCATTAGGACCGGATCCAATCCTCGAGAAGGGATGACGGCCGATGGATAAGACCGGTGATGACATTACAACACGAGGAGAGAAATGGAGAGAGAGAGAACGAGTCCCTGACAACAACGACCGTGGATTTTCACCAATGAAATCAGCCCTCACGTGCAGCCCATGGATTGTGGCATCGCAGGACCGTGAAGGAGAGTGACAAGTGTGGAGAGGCCTCCGTCCACAAGTGGATAGACGTTTGTTTGTTTGTATGCGTGTTTAACGTCTTACAAATGGGACGTAGCCGACCGCGCTTTTTGGAGGTGCCGGGAAAGGACAACAAACTAAACACAAAAAACATTTTTTAAGAAATTAGTTTCAATCTAGATAATAATAAAAAGTGCATAGCTCCGGTGGCTTCCTAATATCAGAAGGAAGAGCGTTCCAGACGACCGTAGAAGCGCATCAAGAGAGCGCGCGATGCGGTGAGCCAAAACCCGCTGACGCGAGGATGACCGGAGTTCTCGTGGTGGTTCGTGCTCCTTGACGAGATCCGCGAGGCATTTGGGTTCCTTTGTGACACGCACTTTACGTGTAATGAGTGCAACCCTAGAACGTGTTCGTTCGGTAGCCCAAAGCCAATGCAGCTCGGGGAGCACTGGACGGACACGGCCGGACCGTGGCTGATCGACGATGGCCCTCGGTGTTAAAAGCCCCAGTTGTGAGCGCCGGCCACACCTGCAGGCTGCCCAGGCAGATCTCGCTGTTGAGTTTCACGCGCCCGCTCGGCTGGGCTGTGGCGTACAGAAGAGCGTCGTTCATCTGCTCGGCACCGTGCCGTGGTGGGGGGAGGGGAGGGCGGCGAGAGCAGGGGGTAGAAGTTGAAGGGGGTGGGGGGCATGCGGTTAGAGTCAAGGCCCAGCAGTGCACACCAGGGACGTGCGGTCAGGGGAGGCAGGGCAGGCAGAGCCTCCCTCACCTGTCATACTCCAATGGAAGTAGATTTTACGAAAAGTAAGAAAAAATTATAATCAAATCAAATAACACTTAAGATGTTTCCACTGATCTGTGTTATGAATGTCATTTCTGTACGATTACAATCATTTTTATAGTCAAAATCGCCAAATTTGCAGAGCTCCGCTGCAAATACAGGAAGAGACGAGAGGTGAGGCAGCGACGAGCTCAGCCTCCCCTCTGATTGCGCAACCCCTCAGTAACTGCGCGTGCCTGCTACTATCTCAGCATGTCACCAATGTAATGTTTGTAGACCCCTTCATTTCATGTCCTCGCCTTCCATACTCCAGGTAACTTATTTCACGTGTGTGTATAAAGAGATTTAGGCTCGCTGGTCTCGTCATGAAACTGCAATTAAAAAGCACCAGGGGAGGCAGCTATCACATCTGCCTCACTGAGGGGGACGTGTCTAACACGCCCCCCTCAGTGTGTGACTCTGGCTCTGACACGAGCCAGTGCCTCCACAGCCATTGACCTCACCGCACGTCACTGGTGCCCCCCCCCCCCCCCACCAGCATAACAAAAGAGTTCAGCGGCCGTACCTACATCGGTCTACAAGAGCACACAGCTAATGCAGCACATGCTGCTGCTCCTGATGATGATTATGATTTATATGGAATGCAAATGAAGAAAATATGTTTACAGATGTTGTCTATGATGGTACCAAGTGGAATTGTGACGAATCACCTCCCCCATCCAGTTATTGAATTTTTGTGACGTCATTCAGGGTTCAAGGGTCAGTTCAAGAGCGGGTTCTTATTTACACCGCCGTGAATATGGAGGTGAGCTGGAGAGGTCGCGTGAACCAACGGATTCAACGTTCACGACTCGGAGTGTCAACGCATCGACGTGGCCTTCGCAACCGGCGTTCAATTCTGAGACTGATAAATGCAGCTGAACCCAAAATGTGTGAAATGTAATGAAGCACCAATCCAGCACACACGACACAGAGTAACGACACAGAGTAACGAGTGTCACAGAGTAACGACACAGAGTAACGAGTGACACAGAGTAACGAGTGACGCAGAGTAACGACACAGAGTAACGACACCGAGTAACGAGTGATACAGAGTAACGAGTGACACAGAGTAACGAGTGACACAGAGTAACGACACAGAGTAACGACACAGAGTAACGAGTGACACAGAGTAACGATACAGAGTAACGAGTGACACAGAGTAACGACACAGAGTAACGAGTGTCACAGAGTAACAAGTGACACAGAGTAACGATACAGAGTAACGAGTGACAGAGTAACGACACAGAGTAACGAGTGTCACAGAGTAACAATTGACACAGAGTAACGACACAGAGTAACGAGTGACACAGAGTAACGACACAGAGTAACGAGTGACACAGAGTAATGACACAGAGTAACGAGTGACACAGAGTAACGAGTGACACAGAGTAACGACACAGAGTAACGAGTGATACAGAGTAACGAGTGTAATAGAGAAACGAGTGACAGAGTAACGACACAGAGTAACGAGTGACACAGAGTAACGACACAGAGTAACGACATACAGTAACGAGTGACACAGAGTAACGAGTGTCACAGAATAACGATACAGAGTAACGAGTGACACAGAGTAACGACACAGAGTAACGAGTGTTACAGAGTAACGAGTGTTACGGAGAAACGACACAGAGTAAGGAGTGACACAGAGTAACGACACAGAGTAACGAGTGACACAGAGTAACGACACAGAGCAACGAGTGACACAGAGTAACGACACAGAGTAACGAGTGACACAGAGTAACGACACAGAGTAACGAGTGACACAGAGTAATGACACAGAGTAACGAGTGACACAGAGTAACGAGTGACACAGAGTAACGAGTGATACAAAGTAACGAGTGTCACAGAGTAACGAGTGACACAGAGTAACGACACAGAGTAATGAGTGACACAGAGTAACGACACAGAGTAACGACACAGAGTAACGAGTGACACAGAGTAACGACACAGAGTAACGAGTGACACAGAGTAACAATTGACACAGAGTAACGACATAGAGTAACGAGTGACAGAGTAACGACACAGAGTAACGACACAGAGTAACGAGTGACACAGGGTAATGACACAGAGTAACGTGTGACACAGAGTAACGTGTGACACAGAGTAACGACACCGAGTAACGAGTGACACAGAGTAACGTGTGACACAGAGTAATGACACAGAGTAACGTGTGACACAGAGTAACGAGTGACACAGAGTAATGACACAGAGTAACGAGTGACACAGAGTAACGTGTGACACAGAGTAACGACACAGAGTAACGAGTGATACAGAGTAACGAGTGTCATAGAGTAACGAGTGACACAGAGTAACGACACAGAGTAACGAGTGACACAGAGTAACGACACAGAGTAACGACATAGAGTAACGAGTGACAGAGTAATGAGTGTCACAGAATAACGACACAGAGTAACGAGTGACACAGAGTAACGACACAGAGTAACGAGTGACACAGAGTAACGACACAGAGTAACGAGTGACACAGAGTAATGACACAGAGTAACGAGTGACACCGATTAACGAGTGACACAGAGTAACGACACAGAGTAACGAGTGATACAGAGTAACGAGTGTCACAGAGTAACGAGTGTCACAGAATAACGATACAGAGTAACGAGTGACACAGAGTAACGACACAGAGTAACGAGTGTTACAGAGTAACGAGTGTTACGGAGAAACGACACAGAGTAACGAGTGACACAGAGTAACGACACAGAGTAACGAGTGACACAGAGTAACGACACAGAGCAACGAGTGACACAGAGTAACGACACAGAGTAACGAGTGACACAGAGTAACGACACAGAGTAACGAGTGACACAGAGTAATGACACAGAGTAACGAGTGACACAGAGTAACGAGTGACACAGAGTAACGAGTGATACAAAGTAACGAGTGTCACAGAGTAACGAGTGACACAGAGTAACGACACAGAGTAATGAGTGACACAGAGTAACGACACAGAGTAACGACACAGAGTAACGAGTGACACAGAGTAACGACACAGAGTAACGAGTGACACAGAGTAACAATTGACACAGAGTAACGACATAGAGTAACGAGTGACAGAGTAACGAGTGACAGAGTAACGACACAGAGTAACGAGTGACACAGGGTAATGACACAGAGTAACGTGTGACACAGAGTAACGTGTGACACAGAGTAACGACACAGAGTAACGAGTGACACAGAGTAACGTGTGACACAGAGTAATGACACAGAGTAACGTGTGACACAGAGTAACGAGTGACACAGAGTAATGACACAGAGTAACGAGTGACACAGAGTAACGTGTGACACAGAGTAACGACACAGAGTAACGAGTGATACAGAGTAACGAGTGTCATAGAGTAACGAGTGACACAGAGTAACGACACAGAGTAACGAGTGACACAGAGTAACGACACAGAGTAACGCCATAGAGTAACGAGTGACAGAGTAATGAGTGTCACAGAATAACGATACAGAGTAACGAGTGACACAGAGTAACGACACAGAGTAACGAGTGACACAGAGTAATGATACAGAGTAACGAGTGACACCGATTAACGAGTGACACAGAGTAACGACACAGAGTAACGAGTGATACAGAGTAACGAGTGTCACAGAGTAATGAGTGACACAGAGTAACGACACAGAGTAACGAGTGACACAGAGTAACGACACAGAGTAACGACATAGAGTAACGAGTGACACAGAGTAACGAGTGTCACAGAATAACGATACAGAGTAAAGAGTGACACAGAGTAACGACACAGAGTAAAGAGTGACACAGAGTAACGACACAGAGTAACGAGTGACACAGAGTAACAATTGACACAGAGTAACGACACAGAGTAACGAGTGACACAGAGTAACGACACAGAGTAACGACAGAGAGTAACGAGTGACACAGAGTAACAATTGACACAGAGTAACGACACAGAGTAACGAGTGACACAGAGTAACGACACAGAGTAACGACACAGAGTAACGAGTGACACAGAGTAACGAGTGATACAGAGTAACGAGTGTCATAGAGTAACGAGTGACACAGAGTAATGACACAGAGTAACGAGTGACACAGAGTAACGACACAGAGTAACGACATAGAGTAACGAGTGACACAGAGTAACGAGTGTCACAGAATAACGATACAGAGTAACGAGTGACAAAGAGTAAAGACACAGAGTAACGACACACAGTAACGAGTGACACAGAGTAACGACACAGAGTAACGAGTGACACAGAGTAACGAGTGACACAGAGTAACGACACGACACAAGAGTAACGATTGACACAGATTAACGACATAGAGTAACGAGTGACACAGAGTAACGAGTGACACAAGAGTAACGATTGACACAGAGTAACGACATAGAGTAACGAGTGACACAGAGTAACGCCAAAAAGTAACGAGTGACACAGAGTAACGACACGACGCAAAGTAATGATGTAACGCGGAGTAACGATGTGACAGAGCAACGACGCGACGTGGAGCAACGACGCGACGTGGATGGTTTTAAAACTGACAGGGCTGTTGCAATGAAATGTACAGTGGATATTGGGGTGCAGATCTCAGCTCCTATCTTTAAAAACAACGGCAAGGCTTTGGGGTATCGGTTCATATGTGTGTGCGTGTAAGCACCAAAAGTGTGTGAGTCTGTGCATGTCTCACTGTGTGTTTGTGTATATGGGATCACACGTGTGTGTGCGTGTATCTGCGTTTCTGTATATGAGCTCACGCGTGCATATGTGTGTGCGTGTATCTCTATGTGTTTGTGTATATGAGCTCACGTATGTGTGTGTGCGTGTATCTGTGTGTGTGTGTGCAGGGGAAGCTGGGCGTTACCAAGAAAAACATGCGAGACTGGAGCGCTTTCCGGCACAGCTTAAACAGAGTTCCTTCCTTGAGAAAAACCTGAAACAAAGAGAAGGCGTGGGACACGGGCAGCAGATCCAACCACACAAACAGCCAGGCACACAAACAGCCAGTCTCACAAACAGCCAGTCTCACACACAGCCAGTCACACACACAACCAGTCACACACACAGCCAGTCTCACACACAGCCAGTCACACACACAACCAGTCTCACACACAGCCAGTCACACACACAGCCAGTCACACACACAGCCAGTCACACAAACAGCCAGTCACACACACAGCCAGTCCCACACACAGCCAGTCACACACACAGCCAGTCTCACACACAGCCAGTCTCACACACAGCCAGTCACACACACAGCCAGTCACACACACAGCCAGTCTCACACACAGCCAGGCACACACACAGCCAGTCACACACACAGCCAGTCACACACAGCCAGTCACACACAGCCAGTCACGCAAACAGCCAGTCACACACACAGCCAGTCTCACACACAGCCAGTCACACACACAGCCAGTCCCACACACAGCCAGTCACACACAGCCAGTCACACACACAGCCAGTCACACAAACAGCCAGTCACACACACAGCCAGTCTCACACACAGCCAGTCACACACACAGCCAGTCTCACACACAGCCAGTCACACACACAGCCAGTCACACACACAGCCAGTCACACACACAGCCAGTCTCACACACAGCCAGTCTCACACACAGCCAGTCACACACACAGCCAGTCTCACACACAGCCAGTCACACACACAGCCAGTCTCACACACAGCCAGTCACACACACAGCCAGTCACACACACAGCCAGTCTCACACACAGCCAGTCTCACACACAGCCAGTCTCACACACAGCCAGTCACACACACAGCCAGTCACACACACAGCCAGTCTCACAAACAGCCAGTCTCACACACAGCCAGTCACACACACAGCCAGTCTCACACACAGCCAGTCACACACACAGCCAGTCTCACACACAGCCAGTCTCACACACAGCCAGTCACACACACAGCCAGTCACACACACAGCCAGTCACACACACAACCAGTCACACACACAGCCAGTCTCACACACAGCCAGTCACACACACAGCCAGTCACACAAACAGCCAGTCTCACACACAGCCAGTCACACACACAGCCAGTCTCACACACAGCCAGTCACACACACAGCCAGTCACACAAACAGCCAGTCACACACACAGCAAGTCACACACACAGCCAGTCACACACACAGCCAGTCTCACACACAGCCAGTCACACACACAGCCAGTCACACAAACAGCCAGTCACACACACAGCCAGTCACACACAGCCAGTCACACACACAGCCAGTCTCACAAACAACCAGTCACACACACAGCCAGTCACACACACAGCCAGTCACACACACAGCCAGTCACACACACAGCCAGTCACACACACAGCCAGTCACGCAAACAGCCAGTCTCACACACAGCCAGTCACACACACAGCCAGTCACACACACAGCCAGTCACACAAACAGCCAGTCACACACACAGCCAGTCACACAAACAGCCAGTCACACACACAGCCAGTCACACACACAGCCAGTCACACACACAGCCAGTCACACACACAGCCAGTCTCACACACAGCCAGTCACACACACAGCCAGTCACACACACAGCCAGTCTCTCACACAGCCAGTTACACAAACAGCCAGTCACACACAGCCAGTCACACACACAGCCAGTCTCACACACAGCCAGTCACACACACAGCCAGTCACACACACAGCCAGTCTCTCACACAGCCAGTCACACAAACAGCCAGTCTCACACACAGCCAGTCATACACACAGCCAGTCTCTCACACAGCCAGTCACACACACAGCCAGTGACACACACAGCCAGTCTCACACACAGCCAGTCACACACACAGCCAGTCTCACACACAGCCAGTCACACACACAGCCAGTCACACACACAGCCAGTCTCTCACACAGCCAGTCACACAAACAGCCAGTCTCACACACAGCCGGTCACACACACAGCCAGTCTCTCACACAGCCAGTCACACACAGCCAGTCACACACACAGCCAGTCACACAAACAGCCAGTCTCACACACAGCCAGTCACACACACAGTCACAGACACAGCCAGTCACACACACAACCAGTCTCACAAACAGCTAGTCTCACACACAGCCAGTCACACACACAGCCAGTCTCACACACAGCCAGTCACACACACAGCCAGTCTCACACACAGCCAGTCACACAAACAGCCAGTCTCACACACAGCCAGTCACACACACAGCCAGTCACACAAACAGCCAGTCTCACACACAGCCAGTCACACACACATACAGTCACACACACAGCCAGTCACACACACAACCAGTCTCACAAACAGCCAGTTACACACACAGCCAGTCACACACACAGCCAGTCACACAAACAGCCAGTCTCACACACAGCCAGTCTCACACACAGCCAATCACACACACAGCCAGTCACACACAGCCAGTCACACACACAGCCAGTCTCACACACAGCCAGTCACACAAACAGCCAGTCTCACACACAGCCAGTCACACACACAGACAGTCACACACACAGCCAGTCACACACACAACCAGTCTCACAAACAGACAGTCTCACACACAGCCACTCTCACACAAGCCAGTCACACACACAGCCAGTCACACACACAGCCAGTCACACACAACAACAACAACAACCGCCATTCGCCACGAAGTGGCGGTGACGTCACCACGACGCTTGTGCCAGGCCAAGTGCACCTTGAGGCCACGTGAAATGTCGAACGCCCGGTGGCAGGAGGTCACGGGGCAGACCCAGGTGCCACGGGTCGACTGACCGAGATGACCGAGATGACTGGCTGATGCACCACCTGTGCCCCCTACTGTACCAACTTGCTGTGCTTTAGCCACCCGGCGCTCCGCTCGTTGTTGTGAGCGTCGCTCCTCCGCCCTCCAACTGCCCAGTAGCGTCCTTCACGAGCCTCCTCCACTGAGGCCGATCTTGACACCGCTGGTACCAGTCATCGGCAAGTCCACTCAGCTCCACGTCCTCCTGTACCACATCACTCCATCTCTTCTCCAGCCCATGCCGCGCCCGTTTAGCCCCCTCGATCCGGCCGAACAAAAGCTGTTTAGGCATGCTGTGGCTGGGCATGCGGGCTACATGACCCAGCCAACGCAGCCTTGCCTGCCGGAGGAGCTCACCGATGTGACTTTACCCAGATCGTTCAAGGACTTGTGAGCTCCTCACACAATCCAGCTGGTTAAACCCAGGATGGATCGTAGGCAGGCCAGCCTAAATGTTTCCAACCGGCGAGATGCTCCACTAGGGGGGTCCACGTTTCGCAAGCGTAGAGAAGGGAGGGAATGACCGTGGCCGAGAAGACCTGAAGCTTCGTGCGGAGCGACAGACCAGGTAGCTTCCACACAGCGTTACGCAACCGATGAAAAGATATTGCCGCTCGACTGATTCGGAGTGAGACCTCTGCTGATAAACTGGAGCCGGTAATAAGCACACTGCCCAGGTATGAGAAACTCTCCACTCTCTCCACAACTGCCCCATCACCAATTGGGAGTTGTGGGGGTGGAGTGTCCGATGGTACAAAATACCCAGGCAGGTGCTTAGTTTTGGTGGGGCTGATGGTAAGGCCCCACCTCTTAGTGGCGCGCTCCAGTCTCAGTAGCAGCGTCTCCAACTCCTCTTCTGAATGAGCAGCTATTACCAAATCATCGGCATACATACATGGTTGACCAATAGGGAGCCATCTCTTGATCGCACCTGGGCGTCGATCAGCCTCCCATTACATCTGTACCAAACGAAAATTCCCCTGGTACAGCTATTGAAGACTTCACGAACTACGCGGTCAAAATAGATGTTAAATAATGTGGAAGCCAGAGGACATCCCTGCCACACCCCAAGGTGTACAGGGAAAGGCTCTAACTCCCGGCCACGTAGTTTTACCCGGGCCCGCTCACCATCATGAAGGTCCTTAATGATCGATAGCAGAGGGTCAGGGACTCCGAAAGCACGAAGAACAACCCAGAGCCCAGGCCTACTGATGGTATCATAGGCCTTGACCAGGTCAATAAAGCAGAGATGTAGGTCTTGTTGGAATTCCCTACACCTCTGTTGTAGCAGACCGACAGAAAATATGGCATCTGTGCAGGACTGCCCTTTCCTGAAACCACATTGGGGCTCCGCAAGCCCCTCCTCAGCGTGCCTAGCAATGCAATGTTGAATAATCCTTGCCAGGACCTTTCCCGGCACACTGAGGAGTGAGATGCCCCTGTAGTCGTTATAGTCTGTGCGGTCCCCCTTCTTAAAGAGGGGGACCACCAGGGCATCCTTCCAATCCTGCGGAACCCGTCCAGTGGTCCAGACTGTTGTTATGATGTCTATAGGGCAGTCTGTGCACAAACGCCACCCTCCCTCAGCATTTCGCTTGGGAGATCATCTCTGCCCGGTGCCTTTCCTGGTCTCAGACTCCGGATCGCCTTCAGTACTTCCTCAACAGATGGTACCTCATCCAGCCACTCACAGGGGTGGACTCTTCCAATATTTGAGGCACCGCAGCCTCAGCAGGGTTATCCCCACTTTGTGCCATGATGTTTTCCTGGCTCAGGGATTTCCCCTCCCCCAGGACCTCACAGAAATGCTCAGCAAATCTGCAAACCTGTCCCTGGGGGTCGGAGATAGATCACCGTTTTTCCCCTAATGATGGTAATAGGTGTGGCGCTGCAGGTTACTTTTTTGATGGAGTTAAATAGTGATTTGTGATCGCGGGCCACTGAGGCAAACTCTATCTCCTCAGCAACCCGCGACCACCACCCATCCTTGCAGCACCTTACGGCTCTCCGAACCTCCGAGCGAAGGTTGCGGTAAACCTCCTCATTCTCTGACGTGGGATGCTGTAGCCGATGAGAGTGGGCCTGTCGCTTATCTCAACTAACCTGAACACCTCCTCTGTCAGCCAGGGTTTCTGGGGAGGTCTGGACCGCGTACCCAAAGCAGCCATTGCAGCTGCATGAGTCACAGTCCTAAACCTCGCCCATTTACCCTCGACATCAGGAGGAGTGGGGGACGATGCCAACCCCAGCTGCAAGCGATGATGAAATTCATCAGATAACTGAGACCAGGCCACTTTTGGTTTGAATGGGGTTCCTGGGTGTACACCCACCACCGGAGTGGAAGAATGGCAGGCGCATCTTACAGATGACTAGTCGATGGTCAGAGGGCAGATCAGCTCCACGGTAGGTCCTGGTGTCAAGGACATGGGCTCGCATCCGCTGGTCCGTCACTATGCAGTCCAGCAGATGTTCTTGCTTGGACCAGGCATGCATCCATGATGTTGTGTGGATGCGCCGATGCCGGAAGAGCGTGTTGGTAATTACAAGCCCATGGGCTGCACAAAAATCTAGCAGCCTCCTACCGTTGTTATTGAGCTGATCTGGCCCATGCCTTCCAATCACTCCAGACCAGGTGCCAGCATCATGACCAACTCGGGCATTGAAGTCACCCAACAAGATGACTCTGTCCCGAGTGGCCACTTTAGCCAGCACCTGTGACAGTAGGTCATAGAAGGCATCTGACTCATCGGCTTTGCCTGCATCCCTCCACGGATGTTCGTCTTCGGTGGGGGCATAAGTAACCACGACCACCACTTCTCGCCTCCAGTTGATGGGAAGGCGAGCCCAAAGTATCCTGGGGCTTACAGCTTCCCACACCTCACCGCCACGCTCCCACGCCACCTTCATTCTTTTGTTCAGAAGAAGAGCCACACCCTGTTGTTTGGCAGTCTCCTGTCCTGAGTGGAGGACTGTCCACCCCTCATGGTGGCAGGAGCCAGAACCGGTCCACCGGACCTCCTGAATGCCACAGAGATCCAGGCGGTGCCGGGCCAGCTCCTGACAGAGGAGTGGCAGCCTCTCTTCCGTAGTGAGTGTTCGAACATTCCACGTGGCCATCTGCAGTGGTTTTATGTTGTTTCTGGAGGAGCCCCGAGGGTGAAGATTCAATCTCCTGGCTCCGCCAATTGGGGGTTGGCCAGGAGACGTCATAGAAGCCTGTCCCCCCGGGGCCTCCGGCACATATTTATGTTTAAGTCGTGGTCTCGTGGTAATTAATTGAAGGTGGAGGGGTTACCAGCCCCTCGCACCCGTCCAGAGCCCCCGTTTAGCCACTATGGTGGTCACAGACGCCATGAGGGGAGAGGCCAATAGGCATTGGCCCTCCCCCCACAGCAATGTCCACGACAGTGTTGCCCGTCCGGCACCGCGAGGAGGTAGGAGGTTGTTTTGCCGGACACACACAGCCAGTCTCACACACAGCCAGTCACACAAACAGCCAGTCTCACACACAGCCAGTCACACACACAGCCAGTCACACACACAGCCAGTCTCACACACAGCCAGTCAGACACACAGCCAGTCACACACACAGCCAGTCACACACACAGCCAGTCACACACACAGACAGTCACAGACAGTCACACACACAGCCAGTCACACACACAGCCAGTCACGCACACAGCCAGTCATACAAACAGCCAGTCTCACACAAAGCCAGTCACACACAGCCAGTCACACACACAGCCGTTCACACACACAGCCAGTCACACACATAGCCAGTCATACACACAGCCAGTAACACACACAGCCAGTCTCACACACACAGCCAGTCTCACACACAGCCAGTCACACACACAGCCAGTCTCACACACAGCCAGTGACACACACAGCCAGTCTCACACACAGCCAGTCATACAAACAGCCAGTCTCACACACAGCCAGTCTCACACACAGCCAGTCTCATAAACAGCCAGTCACACACACAGCCAGTCTCACACACAGCCAGTCACACACACAGCCAGTCACACAAACAGCCAGTCTCACACACAGCAGTCACACACACAGCCAGTCACACGAACAGCCAGTCACACACATAGCCAGTCACACACACAGCCAGTCACACACACAGCCAGTCAAACACACAGCCAGTCGCACACACAGCCAGTCACACACACAGCCAGTCTCACACACAGCCAGTCTCACACACAGCCAGTCACACACACAGCCAGTCACACACATAGCCAAGCACACACACAGCCAGTCACACACACAGCCAGTCACACACACAGCCAAGCACACAAACGGCCAGGGGCACAAATAGCCAGTCTCACACACACCAGTCACACAAACAGCCAGTGATGCAAACAGTCAGTGTCACACACACAGCCAGGCACTCAATCTCCCAGTCTCACAAACAGTCAGTGTCACACACACAGCCAGTCACACAAACAGCCAGTCACACAAACAGCCAGTCACACACACAGCCAGTCACACACACAGCCAGTCACACACACAGCCAGTCACACACACAGCCAGTCACACACACAGCCAGTGATGCAAACAGCCAGTGTCACACACACAGCCAGGCATTCAATCTCCCAGTCACACACACAGCCAGGCACACACACAGCCAGGCACACACACAGCCAGTCACACACACAGCCAGTGTCACACACACAGCCAGGCATTCAATCTCCCAGTCACACAAACAGCCAGTCACACACACAGCCAGTCACACACACAGCCAGTCACACACACAGCCAGTCACACACACAGCCAGTGATGCAAACAGCCAGTGTCACACACACAGCCAGGCATTCAATCTCCCAGTCACACACACAGCCAGGCACACACACAGCCAGGCACACACACAGGCAGGCACGCAATCACCCCCCCACCTCAACAGCTCCTCTCGGTGACTTCAGGAGCCGCGCGGGGCGCTACTCACGCGTCCTGGCTGCACCACCTCGGGGCTGCCCTGCAGACTCTGCTGGATCTGCAGCAACTTCTGGAAGTTATCCTGCCACCAAGTCACGAAAGCAGCAGCAGCATCGACATCGATCACCAACCCCCCTCGTTCTAACGCACGCTCATTGGCCTCGCGGCCAACGTCATGACAATTCGCTTGAGCCGCGTCTCTCTGGACATCCGTGGGGGCGGGGGGGGAGGAGCTTCAGAGCTCATCGGATTCTTCCGGTCGATGATTCTCGGGGTCGGTGACCCGGGGAAATATTTCTGCAACACATCCGTGATTACTACGGCCACGTGCCACCTACCTCACATTTGGACCATACCAAGGGAGGCAGAGCCTGGGCGTGAAGGAGTGAGCGGGGGGGGGGGGTCTGTGGACGCAACCATGTGATTGATAAATAAACATTCCACAGGTCCTTCTTTTGGCCAGTAAAAAAGTGTGAAAAGTAAGAATAGGTTTGTAGCCGTTCTGGCAACGTAACATGAGTTGTGTTGAGACGTTCAAACAACAAGTAGATTCCTTGTGCAAGGAATCAATTACTGCGTTAACCACACCCGCTACTTGCGGTGAGCATACAAACAAACATGCTCTGATAATATATGGCATTGTCTTAGGGGCCGTCCATAAATGACGTCACGCACCTTGGGGGGGCAGAGCTTTGTGACGTCATATTTGAGGGGGGACTGACTTTTTATGACGCCGTGTGACGAGGGGGGGGGGGGGTCAATAATCGTCAAAAATCGCGTGACGTCATTTATGGACGGCCCCTGAGGTCTAACACCGGTGAGACTAGGCCATAAAGAAGGCTGTCATGTTTGCATGTTCACCGCATGTAGGTGAATGCGGACGTGATGTCTTGCAGATGGTATCTGGTGTTTTGAACATCTTAACACAACTCCTGTTGTATTGACAGAAATTAAAAAATATCAGAATCAGAATCTTGTGTTTAGACTGCAGCAAGAATCCGATGAGCAATAAAGCACTTTTCTTTTACAGATGTCCAATATGGGGCACGGGGCAAAATCGTTACAGCAACAAACGATACAAAGCACGTGTTCAGGCACGTTCATTTGAAGTGCAGCATTAACGGGACGCTATGTAACCATTGCACAATATTCATGATCTTTCTTTTCCCAGGAACAATTTAGTTTGCCAGTGTCATGCACGCCTGCCTCCAACGATCTGTTTGTGAGATCCAGAGCATCGCACACAAATGGACACTTTCGGATAATAACCATAATACACAGAAAGGTAGTCACATTTCAAACTCTGGATACCATGTGCACGTACGAAACGTACATGGGCGTGTGTGGGGAGCGGTGGTGTAGTGGTTAGCGCGCTGCGCTACGAACCCGGCGACCCGAGTTCGATTCACGCTCACGGACAACGACCGTTGAGGAACATCTTAACATCGTCCTGGACCTCCCCTAGGTCGACTCGGCCTCAAAATGGGTGCCTGGAGCGTGGTGCTGGCCAAGCCCACACCCGCTTGTGTACCGTTCAGGCCTTCAAAAGTGCGATTCGCGAACAGCTCTTGGCCCAACAGTATGTGTCAGGCTATACGGGTGATCTTTGTCTTTGTGCGCGCGTGTGGTGGCTCATGGCGTGCCGCCTCACCCCTTGGCGCATGCAGTCGTTGGTGTGAGAAGCCACTTCACTGATGATGGCGATGGCCGCTGCAAAGAGAACCCGGGCAGTCCATTAGCGACTCACTAAGCCAGAGTTGATCAGACACTGGAATCACAAACCATCTCACACTCCCTCACCCTGCACCACCACCTCACACCCTACACCACCACCCCCCACTCCCCCACCCTGCACCCACCACCCCCCACTCCCTCACCCTGCACTACCACCCCCCACTCCCTCACCCTGCACTACCACCCTCCACTCCCTCACCCTGCACCACGACCCTCCACTCCCCCACCCTGCACCCACCACCCCCCACTCCCTCACCCTGCACCCACCACCCCCCACCCCCTCACCACCACCCCCCCACCCCCTCACCCTGCACCACCACCCCCACTCCCTCACCCTGCACCACCACCCCCACTCCCTCACCCTGCACTACCACCCCCCACCCCCTCACCCTGCACCACCACCCCCACTCCCTCACCCTGCACCACCACCCCCACTCCCTCACCCTGCACTACCACCCCCCACTCCCTCACCCTGCACTACCACCCCCCACTCCCCCACCCTGCACCACCACCCCCCACTCCCTCACCCTGCACTACCACCCCCCCACTCCCTCACCCTGCACTACCACCCCCACTCCCCCACGCTGCACCACCACCCCCCACTCCCTCACCCTGCACTACCACCCCCCACTCCCTCACCCTGCACCACCACCCCCCACTCCCTCACCCTGCACCACCACCCCCCACTCCCTCACCCTGCACCACCACCCCCCACTCCTCCACCTCCTCACCACCACCCCCCACTCCCCCACCCTGCACCACCACCCCCCACCCCTCACCCTGCACCACCACCCCCCACCCCCTCACCCTGCACCACCACCCCCCACTCCCTCACCCTGCACCACCACCCCCCACTCCCTCACCCTGCACCACCACCCCCCACTCCCTCACCCTGCACCACTACCCCCCACTCCCTCACCCTGCACTACCACCCCCCACTCCCCCACCCTGCACCACCACCCCCCACTCCCTCACCCTGCACTACCACCCCCCCACTCCCTCACCCTGCACTACCACCCCCACTCCCTCACCCTGCACCACCACCCCCCACTCCCTCACCCTGCACCACCACCCCCCACTCCCTCACCCTGCACCACCACCCCCCACTCCCTCACCCTGCACCACCACCCCCCACTCCCTCACCCTGCACCACCACCCCCCACTCCCTCACCCTGCACCACCACCCCCCACTCCCCCAACCTGCACCACCACCGCCCACTCCCCCACCCTGCACCACCACCCCCACTCCCTCACCCTGCACTACCACCCCCCACTCCCTCACCCTGCACTACCACCCCCCACTCCCCCACCCTGCACCACCACCCCCCACTCCCTCACCCTGCACTACCACCCCCCACTCCCTCACCCTGCACTACCACCCCCACTCCCCCACCCTGCACCACCACCCCCCACTCCCTCACCCTGCACTACCACCCCCCACTCCCTCACCCTGCACCACCACCCCCCACTCCCTCACCCTGCACCACCACCCCCCACTCCCTCACCCTGCACCACCACCCCCCACTCCTCCACCTCCTCACCACCACCCCCCACTCCCCCACCCTGCACCACCACCCCCCACCCCTCACCCTGCACCACCACCCCCCACCCCCTCACCCTGCACCACCACCCCCCACTCCCTCACCCTGCACCACCACCCCCCACTCCCTCACCCTGCACCACCCCCCCCCACTCCCTCACCCTGCACCACCACCCCCCACTCCCTCACCCTGCACTACCACCCCCCACTCCCCCACCCTGCACCACCACCCCCCACTCCCTCACCCTGCACTACCACCCCCCACTCCCTCACCCTGCACTACCACCCCCACTCCCTCACCCTGCACCACCACCCCCCCACTCCCTCACCCTGCACCACCACCCCCCACTCCCTCACCCTGCACCACCACCCCCCACTCCCTCACCCTGCACCACCACCCCCCACTCCCTCACCCTGCACCACCACCCCCCACTCCCTCACCCTGCACCACCACCCCCCACTCCCCCAACCTGCACCACCACCGCCCACTCCCCCACCCTGCACCACCACCCCCCACTCCCCCACCCTGCACCACCACCCCCCACTCCCCCAACCTGCACCACCACCGCCCACTCCCCCACCCTGCACCACCACCCCCCACTCCCTCACCCTGCACCACCACCCCCCACTCCCTCACCCTCAGGTTGATTGTGCAGGTAAACGTCAACACGGCGGCTGTTGTAAATGTTGCACATTTGCCAGGTGACATTCCAAGTCAAAAGTTAAACTTCGACCGTGGGCTCCGGTTGTGTCCCCCACTGGGAGCCAGACTCTGTCCCCTAGCACCCCCGACAAACACATCCCCACTTCGGAATCAGATTATTTACTTATCCTGGGAGACATTCGATGAGCTATGAAGCTCTGTTTTCACAGAGCAATTCAGTTTATTTTGAAGTACCCTGTGAGCTAATAAAAACGATTAACTTGGGGTTCATCAATAACAAGACACCCTTCCCGTGATGTAAACATATAGAAAAATAAATCAATAAAAAATAGGTAAGATACATAATTTCAAATATTAAATGTTATCGTTGAGAAAGTTACACCTAGTTAAGGAATAAAAATCAAGTGCAAAATTTAGACATAAATGTTCCTAGTAGGGGCAGGTTAGAACGTTACAACAACTAATACAAAAACACGACAATAGTGCAATTTATAGGCAAGGTTAAACAAATCTCTAAAAAAAATTATACAAATTTAACTAAACTATTTTTAGGCCCAATGAGCCATTAGTTTTATTTTCAGAAGCGACTTTGTCACAAATGATAGCTCAACGACGTGTCTTATCATTATCACGTGGAAATCCACAGCAGCGAAATAATCTCAATAATCTAGATGCGGTGTTTCAAAATGTGGAGGGGAAAACCGGAGGACCCGGAGAAAAAAATCCGCGTGACCACAGGGAGAGAGAGAGACACCGCAAACTCCAAACACACAGCAGGCGTCAGGGTCAGAATCGAACCCACGACTCACTGCATAGCAGACCATCGTGCGGGGAGCTGAGTGACACTGAGTTCAAAGCGGTTAGATCAGGAGATGTTCAGATGTCGGCTCACCACCACACTCGTGCAAACAACCTCAGCACGCACCGCCTCCGCACCCAGCACTCTGCACACGTGAGCATGGCGAGTGGGGTGAGCGTGATGCGTGCTCTGTGCTCGCTCACCCTGCGTGTCCGCGTAGTCTGGGGAGTCCGGGGACAGATGCCTCAAGTAATCTGGCACACACACAGAGACAAAGATCCCCCGTGAAGCCTTAATAGACCGTTGGGGCAAGTGCTGTCATGACCACCTACACAGGCTGGCACGGCACACGAGGGGGTGGGTGGCCAACACCACGCCCGGCCGCCTTTGTCTCCCCAGTGCTGATGTTTACACATCGCACCAGATACTCATTCGAGGCTGAGTCGACCTAGGGAAAGCCCAGGACCGGTTCAAATAATCGTCACTGGTTGTTGGCCGTGAGTGGGAGAATCGAGCTCAGGTGGCTGGGTTCGTAGTGGAGCGCGCTAACCACGGCACTACAGGCACGCACACACGCTCACACGCACACACGCACACACGCGTGAACACGTTCATTCTTTGCAGGCGAGGGGACGGGATTCTACGGCGAGGAGATTGCGTTAATGTTGATGCCACCATCGGCCCACGTCATGGGAGATAGTAGCAGGGGCAGCAATAATAATGATCATCATTTATATTTACCCAGGAAAGCCACGCTGAAGAATATTTCTTGAAGGAGGGTCCCGCTACAATGGCATGTTTGGCCAACACCGTGACATCGTGCGTTTGTGTGTCTATGGGCGGTGGGTTTGTGCAGTACGCTGAGGACACCCATGCAGAACGGAGGGAGAACATACACTCGAGTCAAGAATTGAACCCAGGTAGTGTATTGCTGTGAGGCACAAGTGTTACCACTGAGACCCAGCAAGGCAGGTATTACGAAATCACATCCGTTCATGTTCAGCTGAAGTCGGCTGCATTTTCCTCGTGCCTAATTGTTGATCGACGCCTCTTGGCCAACTGAGGCAGCGCTGGTTCATGTGAGTTGTTGCTCCGCGCGTTCAACAGTCACCCTGAGTATAGTGAGCTAACCCGGGGCTCACGGCGCGTCGTGGACGTGGAACGGATGTAAACCGGTAACGTAATTGGGTGGGAGTGTGAGTGGGTAGGTGGGTGGGTAGGTGGGTGAGTGAGTGGGTGGGTGGGTGGGAGTGTGAGTGGGTGGAGTGTGATGTGGGGTGGAGGTGAGTGGGTGGGTGGGTGAGTGAGTGGGTGAGAGTGTGAGTGGGTAGGTGGGTGGGTAGTGGGTGAGTGAGTGGTGGGAGTGTGATTGTAGGTGGTGGGTAGGTGGTGAGTGAGTGGTGGAGTGTGAGTGGGTGGAGTGTGAGTGGGTGGTGGGTGAGTGAGTGGTGAGAGTGTGAGTGGGTAGGTGGGTGGGTAGGTGGGTGAGTGAGTGGGTGGGAGTGTGAGTGGGTGGGAGTGTGAGTGGGTGGGAGTGTGAGTGGGTGGGAGTGTGAGTGGGTAGGTGGGTGGGTAGGTGGGTGAGTGAGTGGGTGGGAGTGTGAGTGGGTGGGTGGGTGGGAGTGTGAGTGGGTGGGTGGGTGGGTGAGTGGGTGGGCGAGTGCGTGTGTGAGCGGGTGGGTAGGTGAGTGAGTTGGTGAGTGAGTGGGTGAGTGAGTGTGTGTTGGCACAGTAGGGAGCACAGGTGGTGCATCAGCCAGTCGTCTCAGTCAGTCGATCCGTGGCACCTGGGTCTGCCCCGTGACCTGCCAGCGGGCGTTCAACACTTCACGTGGCCTCAAGGTGCACATGGCCTGGCACAAGCGTTGTGGTGACGTCACCACCACTTAGGGGCGAATAGCGGTTGTTGTTGTTGTGTGAGCGGGTGGGTGAGTCAGTGAGTGGGTGAGTGAGTGGGTTGGTGAGTGGGTGAGTGAGTGAGTTGGTGAGTGAGTGGGTTGTTGTTGTTGTTGTCGTGACTTGCCATGTGGTGGTTGAACACGGTCGTAGACGAGAACGGAAGACCGGGGCACCTCGATGTGGAGGCCGTGTGCGAGCACGTGACGGTGAAGAGTGGAGAGGAGGAGCAGGGGTGTGCTTGGATGTGTGGTGGTGAGTTGCAGGTGAGTGGAGGTGAGTGGTGGTGAGTGGTGTTGAGTTGCAGGTGAGTGGTGGTGAGTGGAGGTGAGTGGTGGTGAGTGGTGTTGAGTTGCAGGTGAGTGGTGGTGAGTGGTGGTGAGTGGTGGTGAGTTGCAGGTGAGTGGTGGTGAGTGGTGGTGAGTGGTGGTGAGTTGCAGGTGAGTGGTGGTGAGTGGAGGTGAGTAGTGGTGAGTGGTGGTGAGTTGGAGGTGAGTGGTGGTGAGTGGTGGTGAGTTGGAGGTGAGTGGTGGTGAGTGGTGGTGAGTGGTGGTGAGTTGGAGGTGAGTGGTGGTGAGTTGGAGGTGAGTGGTGGTGAGTGGTGGTGAGTGGTGGTGAGTGGTGGTGAGTGGAGGTGAGTGGTAGTGAGTGGTGGTGAGTGGTGGTGAGTATTTTCGTAAGAGGGCTCTCACCGGTCAGGAGCCACTTGTACTGCGGGATCCTCTGCACGGGCTTCAGCAAGAAGTGTTTCAGCGGAAGGTTTCCGCAGCAAGTTCTCCTCTGCAGGCACGGGCCCAGGGTGGTGGGGGGGGGTCACAATTAAGGCATCACGGTGGCTAGGAGATGTTAACTACCTAGCCTGGTATACAGGAGGTCATGGGTTCAATACCGACCCTGACACCTGCCGCTGTATATTTCGAGTTTGCGTGTCTCTCTCTCCCCGTGGTGGCGTGGATTTGTCTCCGCGTCCTCCGGTTTTCCCTCCACGTTTAGAATGAACATCGCGCATTTAGAGTGTTTGGCTGCTATGAATGTGCACGTGATGATATGCCACTAAGTTGATAGCCGGGTTGCTTCTGTAAAATAGCTCGGTAGCTCAGCGGGCCTTACTTGGTAAAATACTAAAATATCGTTTGAGTAGTTTAGTTTAATAGTTTGATGGCAGCAAACGAGCGGGCGCAGCCGGATGGCAGTGAATGCGGTGAGAGCGGTGAGAGCGGTGAGGGCGGTGAGGGGAGTGAGTGCGGTGAGAGCGGTGAGGGTTTGGTGAGGGCGGTGAGGAGAGTGAGTGTGGTGAGTGCGGTTAGGGCGGTGAGGGGAGTGAGTGCGGTGAGAGCGGTAATGGTTTGGTGAGGGCGGTGAGGAGAGTGAGTGCGGTGAGTGCAGTTAGGGCGGTGAGGGGAGTGAGTGCGGTGAGTGCAGTGAGAGTGGTGAGAGCGGTGAGGGTTTGGTGAGGGCGGTGAGGGGAGTGAGTGCGGTGAGGGGAGTGAGTGCGGTGAGAGCGGTGAGGGTTTGGTGAGGGCGGTGAGGGGAGTGAGTGCGGTGAGAGCGGTGAGAGTGGTGAGGGTTTGGTGAGGCAGTGAGGACAGTGAGGGGAGTGAGTGCGGTGAGAGCGGTGAGAGTGGTGAGGGTTTGGTGAGGCAGTGAGGACAGTGAGGGGAGTGAGTGCGGTGAGAGCGGTGAGGGCGGTGAGGGCGGTGAGGGGAGTGAGTGCGGTGAGAGCGGTGAGAGTGGTGAGGGTTTGGTGAGGACAGTGAGGGGAGTGAGTGCGGTGAGAGCGGTGAGAGTGGTGAGGGTTTGGTGAGGCAGTGAGGACAGTGAGGGGAGTGAGTGCGGTGAGAGCGGTGAGGGCGGTGAGGGGAGTGAGTGCGGTGAGAGCGGTGAGAGTGGTGAGGGTTTGGTGAGGCAGTGAGGGGAGTGAGTGCGGTGAGAGCGGTGAGAGTGGTGAGGGTTTGGTGAGGCAGTGAGGGCAGTGAGGGGAGTGAGTGCGGTGAGAGCGGTGAGGGCGGTGAGGGGAGTGAGTGCGGTGAGAGCGGTGAGAGTGGTGAGGGTTTGGTGAGGCAGTGAGGGGAGTGAGTGCGGTGAGAGCGGTGAGAGTGGTGAGGGTTTGGTGAGGCAGTGAGGACAGTGAGGGGAGTGAGTGCGGTGAGAACGGTGAGGGCGGTGAGGGTTTGGTGAGTTTGCGGTGAGAGCGGTGAGAGTGGTGAGGGTTTGGTGAGGCGGTGAGGACAGTGAGGGGAGTGAGTGCGGTGAGAGCGGTGAGAGCGGTGAGGGTTTGGTGAGTTTGCGGTGAGGGCGCACTCGCCTCGAACTCCCGCACGAGCGCTGCGAAGGCCGGGATGGCACGGCAGCTCTCGTCCAGCACGGCGATGTTGTTGTCGAACTCGCGCACGTAGGCCGAGTAGAGCTTCAGGTAAGGGCCCTTGCGCACGAACACGTCCGCTATGCGGGGACTCTCCTCCCTGAGACGGGGGGGTGAGGTTAGAGACGGGGGGGGCGGTTAGATACGGGGAGGGGCGAGGTCAGAGACAGGGGGGCGAGGTCAGATACGGGGAGGGGCGGGGTCAGAGACGGGGGGGCTAGGTCAGAGACGGGGGGGGGCGGTTAGAGATGAGGGGGAGGCGAGGCTAGATACGGGGGGGCAGGGTTAGAGGCGGGGGGCACAATTGTCTCCACGCCCATTGTGTGCGTTGTCATTATATCTGTGTCTGTCGAGCGCAGTGCTTCTTAACCTTCACTGCAGCCTTGCACCCCCTTGGATCTCCACCGTTAAACAATAAATAATGTTAATGAATACACAGGTTTGACGAAACGAAGTATTTGTACTTAACGTGCTCGTGCTTAATTTGTGTTGCGATGATTTAACTTTGAAAAATAATCTGGCCATGCCTCGCACCCCCTGGGGTGCGTGCACTTCAGGTTAAGAGCCACCAGGTCAGACATTTCACTTGGGGGGGGGGGGAAACCCCCGTTGGGATGGAGCATCCTCGTTTGGCTTACGTAGCACGCACGTAATATCCCGTAATCAACACACAGTGTTTTAGATCTATAACTGATACGGTAATAACGCAATGGAAATTACACCGAACCAAATGCGTGAATCATTAAAGCGTTCAGTGCGAGAGAGATTCAGTCCGGGTGAGATTCAGTCGGAGTGAGATTCAGTCCGAGTGAGGTCCAGTCCAGGCCTTTCCAGGATCTCAGACTGGCGTCCGTTCTCGTGTCTGGCCACGCTGAAGCAGCCCTCTGCACGAGGCAGTGCCTGTTTGGGCTCATAGTCGAGGCACAGGTCGCCATGCTCTGAGAACCAAAGAGTAGACTTATTGAACTCATTGAGAAATTAAATGCACAGCAACAATTATACTTCACATTTAAAATGGTTCATGGCGTATAACAGAATTAGAGCAAGCATGTATACTGCGGGGATCCGATGAGCTATGAAGATCTTGTTCACAGACGTCCAGCAAGTTTCGCAGCAGTGGTCTAAGAATCCCAGGGGTGTGGGAAGAGGGGGGGGGGGTCACTGACCCCTCCCACGTGCTATGAAGCGGCACCCGTAATAATATATTAATCTTGAATGGCGATATCATTGTCTTAGCTCGTGTTGTTGCTGTTGTGTTATCTGCCATTGTGCTCCACTATCGGCGTGCACGAGGACCTCGTGCGCTACCAAATGTCCGCCTCGTGGCTATGGGCGGCCTCCACTCCTCGACCACCGGCACCCCCCCCCCCCACAGCCACCTCCGGCCAGTTGACCTCAGTGGGAAGCGCTACTCGCAATCGGACACTTGCGAGTTCACATCTTGACCGTGGGTCTTCAAGACTCATCTCAACTTTTCGAGGTCGATGAAATAGGCACCGCTTTGTATGTCGTCCGATGAACAGGCTCGGCCCCGCCATATTAACGTGTCATTTCCCACCACTGGCTCAGGGGCAGTGCAGTAGCTGATGAGCACCCTCCCTCAAAGTGCTCGCACTCTCTCTCCGACTGTGACACCGCACGAGAAGCCACGGGAGTGGCCGAGCGCACGCAGGCGAAGGCGTCACTGACCCGCGTTCTCATCGCAGCGGTGCCAAGCGCCGAGGGAGACCGCGCGGCGTTCTGTCGCCAGACTGCAGGCCACGGGACGCGTCTCTTGGGCGCTGCTTGCCCACGGCACTGCTCCAACTCGGGAGTTCTCTCTCATTCCCCAACATCTTTGCCCATCGCCTCATTCCATAAATAAATTAATTTGAATTATTTTAACCCCCCCCCCACCTATCCATGCCTCCTTACCACCACTTATCCCCACCCATTCCCCCCACTCATCCCCACCCACCCACTCCACTCCACTCCCCCCACCAATCCATCCCCACCCATTCCCCCCACTTATCCCCACCCACTCCCTCCACTACCCCCACCCATCCATCCCCACCCACTCCCAAAACCCATCCCCACCAATCCCCACCCCCCTACCCGATCTGTGTCACTCTCCTGATCGAGCGAGGGGGGGGGGGCACCCCGCGCCGCCCGTGTTGAGCGAGCGGTGAGCGCAGTGAGTGGGTGGGGGGTGATAGGGGGGGGTAATAGGGGGGTAGGAGGGGGGTCTTGGGGGGGGGGGCAATGCGTGCGCTCGCACCAGCGTGAGACGCGCTCCACGAAGTCTCGCAGCAGCTCGCGGTTGAGCGCGTAGAGCTGCGGCAGGTAGGAGAGGATCTGGCCGAGCGCGCGGTCCTCCAGCACGGGCCAGCCCTGCGCGTGGCCCGCGTGCGCCACCGCGTCGCGGAACTCCTGCGAGCGACAGCAACAGACGCAGCAGCATGGCCCCTCTGGCTCACACCAGGCACGGCGGTCACCTCACTCATCACGCTTCACGTATCCCGCTTCACGCTGATTCAAAACTGAAATTTTCAACATCACATTGATTAAATTGGTAAAAAGACAAAATAAAAAAAATGGTTTTCTGTATCGACACAAGCACTGCTTCCCCCCCCATGTTCCGCTTGGAATTGATCAAAGCTACCGTACTGCCTCTACTTGATTACTGTGACATCGTGTATAAATCAGCCCCAAGTACTGTACTGAAGAAGCTTGACTCAATGTATCACTCGGCCTTAAGATTTGCATTGAACTGCCCATATAGGACCCACCACTGCGATCTCTACATTGGGTCAAACTTAACTTCTCTTAAAGATCGATGGCTTGTGCATCAGATCTTATTTATTCACGATGTACTTGCAAACAAAATCAGCAGATTACCTGCTGGATCTCCTCGCTGTTTCGAAGAACAAATGTGACCTAAGGTCTTCGCTCATTTACCAACTTTACATTCCCTATTGCCGTACAAATACTGGAGGAAGGGCCTTTGCTATTGATGCCCCCAGGGTCTGGAATGCTGTCGCCAATAAACTGCAACGTGGATCACTGCCTGTGAGATCTTCACTCAAAACTGCTCTAGAGGAGTTGTACACCCCGAGCTGCCACTGCTATTCAGAGTGGCCTGAAATCAAATGTATCGTTCCGGATGACCGCTGCAAAGTATGATCGTGAGTTTTTATTATAGTTTTCTGATCTTTAAAGGTGTATTGAAATTTTTTGTTTCTGCTACTGATGCTCCTGCTGTTATGGAGTGACTCATGCAGCCAGCTATGGCTGCAAAGTTTGGTCGTACATGTTGTTAAATTGAATCACAGTTTCTATGATCACTGTTACATTGTTTTTATAGCTTTATTTTGGTGATTTCGAAAACGTTTTGGTTTAGCCATGTTTGTTTGTTGTAGTACAGAGTTAGCCTGATAACTTTAATCTACATTGTCTTATGGTTGTTATTGTTTGACTTGCATCCCACTGGGATTTTTGCACACGGAAGACTTTGCTGTTTTTTCCAGGATTTTTCTGTTGCATGTTGTCTATTTAAGATGTTTCTTGTTAATGTTTTTGTTTTTTTGCGGTTGCACTTGAGTCAAGAGCCGCATGGTATCACAGGGTTATACCTAATATATGACACTGAAACTGAAACGCATCCCGCTTCACGCATTCCGCCATCAGTTCATTTAAAAATAAAGAAACAACCAAACATCGCGAATCATTACATATTGGGCATGCGCGCTGTTGCACGCGCTGCGTTTTCGTTTGAGGGGTGGACCCGTTAATGCTCGGGAAAGACTCATCACAGTGGAGCCCGCGCCATGAGGTGTGCGTTTCTAAAGCCTTCAATCAAAATGTGGTTGGCGGCTGAACGAAATTAATGTGTCACCGCAAAAGTTGAGCGGCTCAACAACATCAACAAACTTCCTAGAACGCAAACGATGTATTGTCGAGCAGGCTGACTTGATAGGAGTATATAATAGGCGACGTTTCGGACAATGACCCTTCTTCACAGTACATAGAGATGCCATGAAGGTAGACATATCTGTGCTGTGAGAGGCTATGGCCCAAAATATTGCCCATTATATACGTTTCCTTTGTAAGGCAGTGTTATTGATGAGAGGGTGTTTTGTGATGACGACGATGATGATGAGCCTTATGGAAGTGAGTGTGTGTGGGTGTGTGCGCTCTTACCAAATGGAGCAACTTGATAGACTCAACAAAGCTGTAAAATACCAAAAAAACACAAACGCACGCTTCCTTACTAGAAATAATTCACGTCGCATCTGCCCCCCCCACAGCAACGCATCGCGAGGGCACGTGCATGTGTGCATTGTGTACACTGAGCGGTGGCACAGCGGTTAACGCGGTGCGCTACGAACCCGGCGAGCCGACTTAGATTCCCGCTCACGGGCAAACACCAGTCACGATTACCTGCACCAGTCCAGGGCCTCCCCTAGGTCGACTAAGCCTCAAATTAGTATCGGGTGTGGTGTGTAAACGACGCCACTGGGTTAGAGAAAGGCGGCCGGGGATGGTGCTGGCCACCCACCCCATCGTGTGCCATGCCGACCTTAATAGGTGCTGCTCGGCACTTGGCCCAAAAGTCGTTAGAGGCTACACGGGATATTGATGTTTTCTCACCTTTTCTCCGAGCGCATGATTTCCCGAGCAATTTCAAATGCACGGCTCCGCTTCTCCTCCTCTGTCTGACATCACAATCATTCCGGTACAAGTAGTGAGCAAAAAAACAAGGACTCGTGCTAGCTCACAGGTCAATATCGTTTCAATGTTGTGCACCTCGTTTTTCCCCCCAGCTACTCTACGACTCAGCCCTGGATGCGAGTTCCCACGCGCGGTGACGCAGCGTGGCATGAACTCACGAGGTGCCCGAGTTGAGAATCGTCGTCGCCTGTGCACCAGGTGGTCTGTGTGCGGACACGTGGCCCGAGATCATCATCTCCCTAGCACCAGCTGGTCTGTACGTAGACACGTGACCCGAGATGTGTCGCATGGAACCACGGCCTAAGAAAGAAGCTTATACCTTTCTGTCTGTAAGGAAATACTTTATGCCTTGCGCTTCGGACATCACGAATGTAATCTTATATCCCTCAAGAAACATGCAGACGGACACGCCTACCTCCCATAACTGTCTCTCCAAATAAACGTTGTGGCGCACGTCCCATCAGCCACACGGCCTTCTGGCAGTTTATTATTCCAGCAGCTTTGGTTCAATAGAATTAAACTCTGGACCGGTTTCGACTTTCATTTGTCGCATCAGCACAGTCAGACTCGCTTAGTGCCTGATGTTTATAGGCAAGGGGCCTCTGTTACATATGAACATCTGGAAGTTCACCAGTTTAAGCAAACCTGACTCTTCTGATGAGACACTGAATGTCGCTAACCGGACCAGCGTCAACTTGTTTCTATATATACATACACAAACTACAGATTACAATTGACAAGTGACCGTCACACTTAGGGGGAAATATTAATTTAAAACAAAAAGCCCAAGATATTGCGTTTGCCAATCTCATAAAATTGTCCCCGTTCTGTATCCCCAACATTTTTCACCGCGAAAAATCGCCCTCACACCACACACGCGCGCTCGAACATCCAGCATGCCCTGCGTCGAGCAGGCGGTGACGTCGTTAATCGTCACTGATCGAGAGGCGGTACGCGCTCTAACCAATGGGATCCTTGTAAGGTTGGGGGGGGGGGCAGCTGGGCGCGACTGGGAAATATGACGTCACAAAGCTCTGCCACCCCACCCCCCCCAAAAATAGAACATGCTGCAAATCGCTTTAAACTATTGGCATTGTAGTGCGTTTATAATGTGGCGCTGCACTCTGATGTTGTAGGAGAAAACATTTATTAAAATATATATATATTTAATTAAGTAGAACGTGTTTATATTTATTTAAAGTTGCGCATTTTGATGTGACGCCACATTTCTCAAACCCCCCCACCCCTCGTCACACATCGTCACAAATGTCTGACCGCCCCCCCTCCCTAGGTGCGTGACGTCATTTATGGACAGCCACCTAACGCGTGGAAGGTACCGCATGGGAATGACCACGTGACGGTACTTCAGTTGTTAAACGATGCTCGTGTCGGTAAGGGGCCACGTGTGTTAACTTGACGGTTAATACTGACGGCTCTGTTTGGAACGGTCCGCATTTGGTGGCGCTAAGGAGTAACTCCTGCATGTTCCCTCAAAGCATGCGGGGCACGCAGACTCGTCACGATGCATGAGATTCATGCGGAAAACCAAAATCGTTCGCACTTCACAGAAGTTGTATCCGGTGTAAATGCGCGGCCAAATAAACGTTTTGTTCGCACTCGCACGCGGCAGAGGTGCGGCCGATGGAATGCGCAGGAGGCACGCCAGCCCTCTGTCTACGTGAAGGTACAAACACGTGCAACGAGGTGAGCTGGAGAATTGGGATGCGACCCGGGCTCTCCGCGAGCCGCCCAGTTGCCGCAGCATCGAGCCCACAGGGTCCCGCAGTGTGCGTTGGATGCAACTCGAGGGAGATGACCGAGTAAGGAGTGTTGTTCGCTTGATCATAGAGGAACGTCCCAGCGAAGACTGCAGGGGAACGAGGAGGCATTGAGCCGCGTGGAAGGCGCCTCGATCAGCGGGGAACCGGCAGCACGAAAGCCGGATTGGATGTCGGAAATGTCGTGGCCGTAGTAACTACATTATCATTGGCGTAGTAACTACATTATCAGTGGTGTAGTGACTACATTATCAGTGGTGTAGTGACTACATTATCAGTGGTGTAGTAACTACATTATCAGTGGTGTAGTAACTACATTATCAGTGGCGTATTAACTACATTATCAGTGGTGTAGTAACTACATTATCAGTGGTGTAGTAACTACATTATCAGTGGCGTATTAACTACATTATCAGTGGCGTAGTGACTACATTATCAGTGGCGTATTAACTACATTATCAGTGGTGTAGTAACTACATTATCAGTGGCGTATTAACTACATTATCAGTGGCGTAGTGACTACATTACCAGTGGCGTATTAACTACATTATCAGTGGCGTAGTGATAACATTATATCACTATGTAACACGATTTTTGTTCTTGGGTAGTAAGTGTTATTTTCTCATTGCTTATGCCTGGAAAGTATAGAAAATGGGTATTATTCCCCACGAACTTTGCTTTCCACGCTTGCAGGGGCGTTCCGTCTTCGCTAAATGCAGCCACTTCAGCTCCATAGTCGTAGTTTCCTTCTTTGCAATATAATTGACGCGTATTTAGTGAAATAAATCTCCCAAAAACGGAGTTCGATGTGAAGGCATTTTCATTCAAAAAGATTCATGAATGTAAACAGCGTTTGACAGAAGGTGCTGTTGCTCTTTAACGCTGTTGTTCAAATCGAATCTCACGGTGTTAGCCAAGGGGGAGGGCCCAACTCGCAGCTTTGGCCACAAGGCGGGTGGGGGGGGGGGCAAGGCACCACGTGACTGCCCCACGCTCGTGACGCGACTGCGACACCTTCCCCACGACCGCCCCCCACTCTCTGCCGGGGTGGTGATGGGTTTGGGGGGGGGGGCAGCGCCCCACAGAAACGAGGGCTGGCGTTAGGAATACGGCGGCTTAGCCAAGGGGGGGGGGGGGGGGGGGTTGGGCAGCGGCCGATGTGGAGCGGTGACCACCCAGCATTCTCTGCAGGGAGGTGGCAGCGCGTAGTTGAGGAAGCGAGAGCACGTGCGTGTGTGTGACGTGTGTAACGTGTGTGTGTGTTGGTTTTGTTACGCTCACAACGGAGTGCCGGGCGGCTAAAATACAGCAAGTTGGCACAGTAGGGGGTACAGCTGGTGGTGCATCTACCGGTCATCTCAGTCACCCAACGCATGGCACCTGCTGGGTCTGTCCCGAGACCTCCTCCTGCCAGCAGCGAGCCTTCGATACTTCACGTGATATCCTCAAAGTGCACCTGGCCTGGCACGGGCGCCGTGGTGTCGGTATTGGTTGGTTTTGTGTTGATGCGATGCGAGCGCCTAGGGGCCGTCCATAAATGATGTCACGCGATTTTGGACAATCTTCGACTCCCCCCCCTCTTCGTCACACGGCGTTACAAAAAGTCAGCCCACCCCCTCAAATATGACGTCACAAAGCTCTGCCCCCCCCCCAAAAAACCATATTTCCATATTGAAAATAAAACATGCTTCAAATCGCTTTAAACTATTGTCATTGTAGTGCGTATTTAATGTGGCGCTGTACTCTGATGTTGTAGGAAAAAAACATTTATTAAAAAGTCGATTTAATTATGTAGAACGTGTTGCCTATATTTATTTAAAGTTGCGCATTTTGATGTGACGTCACATTTCTCAACCCCCCCCCCCCCTCGTCACACATCGTCACAAATGTCTGACCCCCCCCCCCCCAGGAGCGTGACGTCATTTATGGACGGCCCCCTGTGCGAGAGCCCGCGCGGTCTGTCCACGCGTGCAGCTTTGGGACCTGAGCGGCGCGTGGAGCGCTGGGGTGGTGGTGGTGGGGGTGGTGGTGGTGGAGCCGTGCGCCGGCACCGCCCGCCTCCTCATCCTCGTCGTCATCCTCGGACGGCGCGTCCGCTCCGTAGGTCCCCGCCCTGCCCCCCGGTGTCGCGTCGCTCCTGCACGGCGAGTCGCGAAAACAAAAGCCCCACGCCGTTTCCTGCTCAAATGACCATCGAGGCAGGCGCTCATCTCCTGTTTACAAGCTCCCGAGCAGATGGTGGAAATCCGCATTCCTATGGCGGGGCCGAGTCTGTTCAGAAGGACACGCACGCGCCGCTGACTTCCCCACAAAGTGACCCCCCCCCCACCCGGAGGCATGCTGAGCTGAATAAACTATTTTCTGTCTTTTTCCATAATATATTTATCCCCTTAATACATATCTCCAATCATCGATGTCTAATCATTATCATGTGAATACATCCCTTTGATGCCTTCTTACCCTTCCGAATGCATCTTCTGTCTACAGCAGCGTCCTTCGTTCATTATCAGAGGGGAGGGGCGGGGGGCACTTTCGCCGATTAGACATCATCAGCGTGAGGGCCGCCACACATTTGAACCCATTTGGGGTTTGACAGCATCACGATGATGATGGTGATGATGGGGTGATTTCTCTCTATCACACAAACACCTCCAGGAGCAGCCAGCGGCCCGCGAGCCTCCCAATGCAGAACACCAACCTACACAGATCGTGCGTCGTCTCATCGACACGACCACCGCGTCCATCTCTCGGCCGCGGAACCCACCTCCTGGACGAGCAGCTCGGAGCTCGCCGCGCCTCCAGACACGGGAAGTTGCTCATGTCCACGTATCCGTCCGTGTCGCTCCCGCGTTCCCCGGACCCCCTGCCCTCCGCGTCCCTGCGCGGGACCCCTCTGCAACTCTGCCCGCCGCCGCCGCCTCCCCGCGCGGACGCCTCGTCCCCGAAGAAGCCCCTGGGCTGACTCGCCTTGGCCGCGAACCGCTTGCTGCTCTTGCGCACGGGAGGCGTCATGTTCTCGTAGTCGCTGTTGCCCACCGGCACGTTCTCGTACTCCGTGCAGGGACTCGGGTTGGGGAACGAGATGGAGCGCGGCTTGGTCAGCGGATGGGGCGCGTGCGGCGGTCGTGGGCGACTCTCAAACGATTCCACCCGGCAAATCATCCTGCTGCTGCTGCTGCCGCTCCCGCCGCTGCTACCGCTGTAGTTGTGCCTGCTGCTGCTGCCGCCGCTGCTGTTGCCGTGCTCCTTGGACCCGCGCGTCCCGAGAGCCACGACCCGCTGGATCCCCGGGGAAGCGCGCGGCCCCTTGTGCCTGCGCTCCTCCGCCTCGGCGCCGCGCGCGTGGAGCCCCGCGCCCTCCGACGGCCGCTTGGGCTGCTCCGCGTGCTTCTTCCTCACCGAGATCTTGAAGGGCAGCAGCCGCTTGAGGGAGCTCTTCTTTTTGGAGGCGCGCTTCGACGCGTGCTTGTCCTGGGGCTCCAGCGTCATGAGGATGGACGGCGAGCTCTTGGCGAGCGGCTTCTTCGTGATGGGCGCCAGCTCGAAGGGCGGCGGGATGTCCCCGACGGAAGAGGCGCCCGGGTTGGACCCCCACGGCGGCGGGGCGCGCGCGCCCCCGCGGGGCCCCCTCGCCGCGAGGGGCGACGGCGGCGAGAACTCGGGTCGCTTCCTCCGCTCCAAGGGCGACATCATTGCGGCGCCGTGGCGAGGCGGTGCGTGCTGGGGGTCCTGGCCCCCCCTCGCCCGAGGGGAGCTGGTGGAGGGTGGGGGGGCGCCCCCCCCGACCCTGTTCCTCGCCATCTGCTCGCAGGAGCGCTCCTTGACGAGGCGGCTGCCGCAGCTGAGGCTGCGCGGCGTGCCCGTGAAGGAGCCCTCGGAGCACGTGTCGGAGTGCGTGTCGCTATCGTCGGCCATCGCCCTGTGGAACAGCGAGCTTCCCGTGAGGGATTTGACTCGCGAGAGGAGGCCCCTGCGCTCCGGGCTGAGCGAGAGGCTGCTGATCCAGTCCTTGATGCCGTGGATCTCCGAGTAGAGCCCGTCGGAGCTCTCCTCCGCCGCGAGGGACACGAGGGAGTCCACCTCGCAGTAGTGGTCATCCTCCTGTCCGCTCGCGGTGCCCGGCTGCGACTTGGCGAGAGGAGAGGCCTCGACAACGGAGTGCTGGGACGCAGCTTCGCCCCCGCCTGTGGGGGGAGCACGAGCCGCCGCCTCCTCGTCCTCCTCCTGCTGCTGCCGCTCCGCGAGTGAATCTGCATTCTCAGTCGCAATCTCGGAATCGGCACCTTCTCGTGCAGAACGTGAGGCGCCCTCGTCCAGTGGCCGCGCGGCTTCAGTCTCGTCCGCGGAGTGAGGGGCGGGGGTCACGCGCTCCGTCTCCTCGTGCGGCCCGCTGCCTTGCGCCACGCTCGCGTCCTCCGGAGACGCCGTCTCCACACCCGCCTCCCCGCTCGCCTCGTCCGCGCGCTGCCGCGCCTCCACAAAACCGTCGCTGATATTTGCAAGGCCTTCCTGGTCATCGTCATCATCGTCGCCATCGTCATCATCGTCGCCATCGACGTGTTCATCATCATCGTCGTTATGATCGTCATCAGCTCCCTGGGCGGCTCTGACCGCGCGCTGCGTCGCGCTGGCGTGGGACAGGTGAAGCTCCCACAGGTGAAGGTCTCCACGTGCGTCCCCGTCGTGAAAGTGACTGAAGAACAATGGCCGCGCGCGCCTCGGCCCCGTGCCCCCGCCCGCGCAGCCGATCCCGGGGCCCAGCGAGCGAACTCGCGAGCGCGCTTGGCACAGAGACGCCGCCTCCTCCATCGCGAGCGACGAGCGCGCCGTCAGGGCCCCCTCGGGCCACGAGTAGGAGAGGCTCCGCTGAGCAGGGCCCCCGTGGTGGGGCACGAACTCGGGCATGCGGAGCTCGCCGGGCGCGCTCTTGTCGTGCGCGGGACACGAGCAGGGCGTCACGTGGCCCGTGCTGATGATGTCGGGACGATCATCGGACAAGCGTCCGACGGGAGCGGTCGCGCTCTCGCCCGCCGGCTCTCCCCGACCGTCGTCGCCGCCGTGACTGCCGCTGCTGCTGCTGCTGCTGCTGCTTCGGCTGCTGTTGCTGCTTCTGCTGCTGTTGTTGTTGCTGCTGTTGCTGCTGCTGTCTGACGAGACGCACGCGTTCCCGTCGGGGCTCGCGAGCAGTCGAAGCTCGCTCGCTCGCGCGGGTCTCGAGAGCTGCGGCTTGGGCGCCAGTGGCGGCTTGGAGGCGACTCGAGGGGCGGCGGAGATGGAGGTCGCGCCGCGGTTGGGCTCCCCGGCTACTGTGGCGCGCAGAGGGGCGCCTGGGTAGGGGGGCAGGGGGGCACGGGGGGGGGGCACAGAGCCCGGCAGCAACAGCACAAAGAGTCGGCGCGACGCCTCGGCCATTCCGCTACGCTGAAAGTTGCGCTAATTAAACATTTTTTTTATTTTTATTTGACCAGATGAGTACCACTGAGTTATATGGCCCTTTTTTCAGAAGCGACCTGGCTATCACAAATGACAGCTCAACGGAGTGGATCATTCACGTGGACATTTCTCGCAGCTCTAGACGCGTGATTCTAAATGTGGAGGGGACCTGGGGAAAAATTCCCGGTGTCCTCCTGTTTTGCATGTGTCTCTCTCTCATGTCGGTTTTGCAAAGAGACACCGCAAAATACAAATATACAGCAGCAGGCGTCAGAGTCGGGATCGACCCCACGACCTCCTGCATACCAGGCGAGGTAGTTAACATCTCGCTGCCGTCGTGTTAATAGCGATGCACGCAATGCGCGTCCCCTCCTCATCTCGCTGCGAGCCGTCGACAGGGCGCTGGTTACAGGCAACGGGGGGGGGGGGGGCATTGTTGATGCCCAACTCCAGCCACAGCTTGTGATGCCCCCCCAGCCTTCCCGTGCGCGTCCGTGAAAAGCGTCAACCGGTCTGTGTGTAACACGCGCAGGAGTAGCGGGGACAGGCGCGTGCGCCTTCTACGCCACGCGGGCACACGCGCCGACCGACACGCGCAGCTCGAGAGAGCGCAGTGCGCGTTCCTCGCTAGGTCGAGGGGTTGGAGCGGGTGGGGAGAGAGAGAGACGCCCTTACCATCTTCCATGTCCGCAGATCCGCGCTCACGTGCGCCGCTCGTACAGCGCTCGCGTCTTCATCGCCACGGCAGCGGATACTCGAACAGACCCCTTCACACACGCGCCACACACACACATCCCCCTTCACATACACACACACCATACTCACACCACACACACATCAAACTCACACCACACGCACACCACACACATCAAACACTCACAACACACTCACACCACACACACAAATCAAACACACAACACACACACCACACGCACACCACACACACACCAAAAGCAAATATCCGCCGTATAGCCTTAGACTGTAGGAGAAAATGCTGTTAGCGAGCACCTATGAAGGCCGGCAAGGCACACGAGGGGGTGGGAGACAGCACCACGCCCGGCCGCCTTTGTCTCCTGAGTGAGCTGCGCGTGTCGTCGGCGTGTGTCCCCGCTACTCCTGCCCACCAGGTACGAATTTCAGTCCGAGTCTACCTAGGGGAGGTCCAGGACCGGTTGCGATAATCGTCACGAGAATCGAAGTTGGGTCCCTGGGTTTGTAGCGCAGCGCGCTAACTGCTACCCCACCTCTCCCCACCTTCACACACACCACACAAACTTCAAACTCACACCACACACTCGACACACATCACACACCTCACGACACACATCACACACACATCATACACACACCCCACACACATCATACACACCTTCACATTCACCACACACATTATACACATTAAACACACACACCACACTGACACCACACTCACTCCAGACTCACCACCTCACACGACATACATCAAACACACCACAGACAAACATCAAACTTACACCACACATCACAACACACTCACACCACACACACAAACATCACACTCACATCACACTCACACGACGCACATCAAACACTCACAACACACACCACACCACACACAGCACGCACACACAGACACGTATAGCCTTAGACCCCAGGAGCAAGTCCTGTTAGCGAGCAGCACCTATGAAGGCCGGCACGGCACACGACGGGGTGGGAGGCAGAACCACGCCCGACCGCCTTTGTCTCCTGAGTGGCGATATTTACACACCGCACTAGGTAAATATGTGAGGCTGAGTCGACCTAGGGGAGGCCCAGGACCGGTTGAGATAATTGTTACGGGAATCGAACTCGGGTTCCCAGGTTCGTAACGCAGCGCGCTAACCGCTACGCCACCGCTCCCCACATTAACACACACACCACACTCACAGAGCTTCACACAAACGACACACACACATCAAACTCAAACAACACACACCACACAGACATCAAACACACCACACACACATATCACACACATACCTTCACGCACACCACACATACGGTACACCACACACACACACGACACACATAGAACTTCACACATAAACCCCACACATGTTCATACACCTCCACACACTGTCGCCATAATCCACGCTCATATTCACAAACACGGTGACGCGCGGACCCCACACTCGCTCATCTTCGCGCGCGCAACACACGCACTTACACACAGACACGTACACACACAGACACACGTACACACGTACACACACAGCCACACGTACTCACACAGACACACAGACACACGTACACACACAGCCACACGCCGCTCTCATCGTCAGAGACACACGCACGCACCTTGACGCACAGAAGCCCTCGCTCGCGCGCGCTCCTCCTGCACGCGCGCGCACGCGCACCAAACCCCCCCGCACCCTCGCCGCGTCCCCACTCGGACTCCGCCGCCGCCGCCGCGAGAAGACGAAACGGAAAGAGGCCCGGAGGCTCGACCCCGGGGTGGGGGCCGCCTCTGGCAGGAAAACGGCTCAGGAAGCGGCGCGCGGCGCGGCCACAATGCGCGGCGCGGTTTCCCCGAGAGCTCTGCGCCGCCACCGCCGCCGCCGACGCGACAACACAATGGGGCCACCGGCCCCCCCCCCACCCCCCCCGGTTTTGTTGTTTTGAGACGCAGGGCGCAGCGCAGAGGCCCCGCGCTCGACACAGCCACGGACGTCGCCACACGCCGCGGGCGTTCACCGGCAACCCCCACGTTGGCATCCACACCCGGCTCCGAGCGATGTGGGCGCACACTGGGTGCCCCCCCCCCACCTCCCCCCCCCCGCCACCTCCAAAACCCCGGGGGATGGGAGGCTGTATGTGAGCCCCCCCCCACCTCCACCGACATCCCGGGCAGGAGCCGCACTCCCACGGGAGGGCGCGGTGACCCCCCGCCTCTCCCCCCCCCCCGCATCCACTCCCCCGCGCGCTCCCAGCTGTGGCGGTCGACAGCCCTCTCTGTGGGGTCGTGGAAGCGCTTCGCTGTGAACGCCAACGGGGGACAGGCGCAGCTCCGCGTGCCACGCCACGCGCGCGGCTCGTCTCAGGTCGCGCGCACGCGGTGGCCGCCGCGTCTGGCCACCGGCCCCTCCCAGCAACCGCCCGAATCTGTCTGGTAGCGTGACACGTGTCAACAAGTCTACCTGTGCGTGTGTGTTTCTGTACTGTGGGGAGCGGTGGCGTAGCGGCTAGTGCACTGCGCTACGAACCCGGCGACCCGAGTTCGCATTCCCGCTCATGGCCAACACCTTACACACATATTTGAACCGGTTGTGGGCCTCCCCTAGGTCGACTCAGCCTCAAATGAGTACCTGGTACGGTGTGTATACATCGCCACTGGGGAGACAAAGACAGCCGGGCGTGGTGTTGTCCACCTACCCCCTAGTGTGCCGTGGCGGCCTTCATAGGTTCTCGCTAACAGCACTTGCCCCAACTGTCGATTAAGGCTACACGGGGGATATTTTGTCTTCGTGTCTATGTACAGGGACTCCCCTACTTACGAACGAATTAGGTTCCAGAGGTCTGTTCGTAAGTCGATTTGTTCGTCAGTCCAACTTTACTCCTTTAGATTCCAAACATGTTGTACGGCATGTACACTAAACAGTTTACAAGTTGTATAATCTCCTGTAGATGTAGATGCCACTGGTTCTTCATGTTCTGTAGATGCCACTGGTTCTTCACGTTCTGCAGATGTAGATGCCACTGGTTCTTCACGTTCTGCAGATGTAGATGCCACTGGTCCTTGATGTTCTGTAGATGTAGATGCCACTGGTTCTTCACGTTCTATAGATGCCACCACTGGCATCTATTGCGCGGCTGTTGAACGACTCTCGGTCCAAACAGGCAACAAACTTGTTCGTATCTCTGAAAGTTCATAAGTCGAACGTTCGTAAGTAGAGGAGTCCCTGTATGTGTATTGAACTCTCAGAATATAAAAAAAACACTGCAGTGCGTGTGAGATTGCTCATTTATTAAGGACTCACCGTCTCGTATTCACCACACAGTGCATGGCGGCTCTTTAAATATTGAGAGAGGTTATTTCTTTACCGAATTCGAACAAAAGTTACTCTCCTTGTTATTGTGGTTGCCGAGCCCTGCTCTGGACCAACCCAAAGTTGAAATTTTTAACCAACCGCTCTTCAAACATTCATTCCACTGGAGCTGAACGACCCCGCCGGAGCCTCGTGTGTGGATGGGAGCGACAGAGTTGGGGGTTCGTAGCCGCTTCGGAAGGGACCTGCGGTGAAAGTCGACGCGTGGCAAGAGACACATCCAGGATCAGGGGTCATGTGCCCGCGAGTGATCATCAGACCTCGGGTCGCATGACGCAGCACTGCCCACACCGCCGATTTGCGAGCAACATCACCGACATCCACCGATGTATGTGTATGTATGTTGAACTTATTTCACACCGTATGTGGCCAACCGCGCTAATCGGAGGTGCGGAGGGGGAGGACAATAAACTAAATACACAATCAGAAATAGCAGCAGCCTTGGTCTATCTACTGCTGGGTAAAGGCCTTCCCCCGCCATCGCCTTCCCTCGTGGACCTGTCATCCCCTGTGGCCATTCACCTCCCCATCCTTCCGTTCGCGCCGTACGTAGCCAACCGCGCTCAAAGCAAACGTCGCGCGTTTCCTTTGGGCAGCCGCCCCGGCCGATGGGACGGCCCGCATCCTGTTTGTGCCCCCGAGACGCGGAGTCGCTCTCGCAATACCCTCCCCACGCGCTGGCGTCATCAGCGAGCGAACGTCCGTCGCGGGCGTTCGCGATCAGAACGGGGGGCACCGACCCCCGGGGCAAAGCCTTTCCACGGGCCGCCCGTTCGAGTTGACCCCGGGGTGAGACGCCAAGAGGCTACGATGGGTGGGTCTCGACCTCTGGGCTCGTCGGAAAGTTGACAAAAAAAACAACCGATTTTTTTTTAAGAAAAGAAAGTCAAACAAGAAATTGAAAATGTCACACGCACGATTCCCCGACACGCACAGACGGCTCGGGCAGATCGTCCTCAGCCGGATCGCGGCAGCACAACACTGAGCTAATAAAAAATATGTGAACATCAAACGGAGGGAAATTGACTCACGCGCCCGTGCGTAAGCGCACAGGGACACGCGTCAATTATGGCTGGACGTGAGGAGGGCGAGCCGAGTCGGTTTGAGAAGCGATGATATTCCACGTGTGCGGAGCGTGAGCACAGAATGAGCGAGGGACCAGGTGAGGTTTCTCTCCTCGGCATCGTGCGCCTCGCTGCCGTGGAACGTCGAGGATGGTCAGGGTCGTGTTCCCGTCTAGGGTGGCGAGGGTCGTGTTCCTTCTTGATTTTAAGCTTTCGTGACTGCAGGAATCCATACTCTTTGGTTCTTTCGGAAAAGTCACGTAAGTTGTGTTCCTGTCCAACCACATCCACCCCACCACTCCAACTAAATTCACCCCACCACTCCACCCACAACCACCTCACCACTCCACCCACCCCACCACTCCACCCACACCCACTCCACCTACACCAACCCCACCATTCCACCCACACGCCGCTCCACCACTCCACCCACACTCATACCACCACTCCACCCACACCCACCCCACCACTCCACCCACGCCAACCCCACCACCACAACCACACCCACCCCACCACTCCACCCACCGCCACCCCACCACTCCAACCACACCCCACATCACAACTCCCACCACACTCACCCCAACAACAACAAGAACCGCCATTCACCAATAAGTGGCGGTGACGTCACCACGACGCTTGTGCCAGGCTATGTGCACGTTCAGGCCACATTATGTGTCGACCGTTCGCTGGCAGGAGGTCACTAGACAGACCCAAGTGCCATGGGTCGACTGACTGAAATGACTGGCCGAATGCACCACCCGTGCCCCCTACTTTGCCAACTTGGGGTGTTTTAGCCACTCCACGCTCCACTCATTGTTGTGAGCATCGATGCTCTGCCCTCCGTTATTGTTAGAGGGCGATTGCCTCCAACTACTGAGCAGAGTCCTTCATGAGCCTCCTCCACGGGGGCCTATCTTGACACCGCTGGTACCAGTCATCGGCAAGCCCATTCAGCTCCACATCTTCTTGTACCACATCACTCCATCTCTTCTCTACACCGTGCCGCGCCCATCTAGCCCCCTCTATCCGGCCGACCAAACGCTGTTTAGGCATGCTGTGGCTGGGCATGCGGGCTACGTGACCCAGCCAACGCAGCCTTTCCTGCCGGAGTAGCTCACTGATGGAACTTTGTCCAGATCTTTAGAGGATTTGTGAGCTCCTCACACAATCCAGCCTGGTTGAACCCAGGATAGATCATAGGCAGGCCAGCCTTAATGTTTCTAACCGGCGAAGATGTTCCATTAGGACGGTCCATGTTTCGCAAGCATGGAGAAGGAACGGCATGACAATGGCCGAGAAGACCCGAAGCCTCGTGTCGAACGAGAGACCAAATAGCAGCCAATGCAAAGATAATGTCGCTCGACTGATTCGAGATGAGACCTCTGCTGTCAAACCGGAGCTGGTAATAGCCACACTGCCCATATATGGAAACCTCTCCACTCTCTCCATAACTGCCCTGTCACCAATGGGAGTTGAGGGGGTTTGATCACACAAAATATCCAGACAGGTGCTTAGTTTTGGAATGGCTTATTGTAAGGCCTAACCTCTTAGTAGCACGCTCCAGGTTCAGCAGCAGCACCAACTCCTTCTCTGAGTGAGTAGCAATCACCAGATCATCAGCTTACATAACATGGCCGATCAATAGGGAGGCATCCTGCGACCTGGGCATCAATCAGCCTCCCGTTGTATTTGTACCAGATGGAGATTCCTCCGGTACAGCCATGGAAGGATTCTCGAACTATGTGGTCCAAAAACGGTTAAATAATGTAGGTGCTAAAGGACATTCCTTTTGCACCCCAAGGTAAACACGGAATGGCTCTGACCTGGCTCTGCCCACCATCATCACAGTCCTTAATGATTGTGAGCAGAGAGTCAGGGACGACGAAAGCACGAAAAGCAACCCAGAGACCAGGCCTATTGATGGTGTAGTGTTGTAAAGGACGGACTAATAACTTCTTTATGGCACACACAGTTTATTGTCTTAATTACACAGTCCCTAACACACAAGGGGTATACGGTCCCCTTACCCGTTAACCTGAGGAGGTACAGCCTCCGACCCTGCACAGCTCACACTCACACTTCGCTCCTATTCTAAGGAGCTACAGCCTCCGGACTTGCCGGCTATCTGATCTCCCCGCTAGCCTAGCGTCCTCCGGCTG